TGGACAGGTAAAACCAAGATGAGCTTGTACCAGAATGATACGAAGGCAAAGGTCTGGAGAAGCAGTGAACCAGCTAATTATGTGAAGAATATCACATCATCTTTCAAACATGTAATGTTATAACATGGGCATGAATGGCTGCCGGTGGAACCGGATCACTGGGATTTAAAGACAGAAGCTGACAGAAGCAGCAGGATGTGCTGTGAAGTGTTCAAGGCTGTACTCTCTGCTCAGATTCAGCCAAATACTGTAAAAGTGATTGGACAGAGCTTCGCAGAACGGATGAATAATGACCCAAACAAACATTGATCTGAGGCCCAGTAGGCATCCTTGTCAGATGCCAGAACCACCTTAACTGGCTCCTTTTGATGTGGAGGAGTATCACCTCTACTCTGAGCCCTCTGACTGAACTCCTCATCCTATCTCTAAGGGAGAGGCCAGCCACCCTTCAGGGGAAGCTCATTTCTGGCACTTGTATCCAAAGTCTTGTTCTTTTGGTCCCTACCCACAGCTTGTGACCATAGGTGATGGTAGGGATATAGATTGACCGGTAAAGAGCTTTGCTTTTACACTCAGCTCTCTCTTCACCACAACAGACGTGTACAGCTTCCACATCACTGCAAACAAATAAAGGAACCCAAGAGTTTCTCAAAGGAAAGAAATGGACAAGTCACTCCCCTGATCTCAACCAACAGAGCAAGTTATTCAGGTATTAAATGGAAAACTGAAAACAGAGACACCCACAAACAAGCAACAACCAATGGTGGCTGCAGCAAAGAGCATCTGAAGTCCATGGGTTCTAGACTTCAGTCACTGAACACAAAGGATTTCAACCAAAAACACTTCTTACATTTAAAATTGTTAGTTTAGCCATTTCTTTTTAAGAAAATTGGAGATTGTGTAGAAAATGTCTGTAAATCCTAAACATATCATGGCATACTCTTGTTAATTAAAGCTGAAAGTCTGCACTTCAGTCACATCTTGAATGCTTGATTTAAAATTTTCTGTGTTGGTTTACAGAGGCAAATGTAGAAAAAAGTGTTGCTGTCTAAAAGCTTATTGAGCAGACTGTAGCTGAAGATGCTGTCTGGATGAGTAATTATTGACTGACTGGCTGCAGAGAGACAAACATGCACTGAAACAGTTTTAAAGATGGGCTCTTTACAGTTATCTGTTCCTAATGAGAAACGGTGTCCAGGTCACTAGTCTGACACTGAGGTGTGTCGCGGTCTTGTGTGATCGATGGTTACGTAGTCTGTGAGCTTCGACTGTGCATCGGGCGACTGTTATGAACTCTCAATTCTACCAATGTGTCTCAAAGTAAATGCGGTGTAGAGTCATGTGGTAAAACGGATCCAGGGCAGGTTCGGTTCAAAAACAGAAGATCGCCCCGTGACCCGCGGCGGCAGCATTGTTGTTGTTGTTTGTGTGATGTCAAGCCTGCGGGGGAGTCTCGGGTGTTATTTTTAGCGGTGAAAGGTTAAACGGAGAAGCTCGACTGACTGAACTAACCGGATTATCTGCCATTCTTGTCTGGATTTCATCATAGTAGGATTCAGTGGGAGACGGGCCATCTGAGACAATTCACCAGTGACGCCGCAGTAAGCTGGAAACCGGCATCCGCACATTTCTCCTCTGATTAAAATCAGCCCAAATCATAAGGAACTCCCATTTGAATACCAAATAATTTCACCTATTTTCTTAAAGTGCCTGAGACCTGACAGAGACTCCTGCTTATCTCTCCCTTTTATTTTCATTTTGCTGCCATGAATACAGAGCGGAGTATCAACTGTGAATATTTCAGTATTTAATCAAATGTCAGAGTGCATTTAGTCTGAGCCCTGAGAGGAGGGTTTTTCTTTAAATGTAATGCGGTGATAAGCGGAGCTGGATTTTAATGTGCAAAGTGAAACTTTTATTAGCGGCTCCCTGAGAGCTCCTCGGCTTTATTAGATAAAACAGCTGAGGGGGATGGAGGAGAGATTGTCAGACAATGCTACAAGTGAAGTGTTGTCACTGAGAGCAGAAAGGCTTTAATGGACTCTGAGCTACTGCTGGACTCACTTTAAATGAACTACATCAAAGTCAAGCACAAAGCAAAGTACATGAAGTAAAACACATGTGCTACAAAAGCTTCAGAGTCCAGGTCAAAGCGCAACACGCCAAATAATCAACAAGAGTACCAGAATTTGTGCCTCAGAGGACCAGAACGTGGAGTCAATCACTTTGTTTTGTTGCAGACCTGCAGCTTTATAATGAGGAGTGGATGGACTCAGTTTGAGTCATCGCTGCAGCCGCTGTGATGTCAGCTATTTTGAAGCCTCGGCCGAAGTGTTTTTGCTGAGCTTTTTGAAAGCAGGTGCCACGAGTCCAGAGTGAACGTGATGCTGCACGGTTTCCTCGTCCGTCCGCTGACCGATCAGGACTTTGATCAACAAACTGAGGAATGACAGCAGGCTGGGTAGTCGTACAACTCAAATATGCAGCTCAGCATAACAGAAACCAGTCCTTGTGTTTGACCTCACCGCCGTCGTGTTCAGTTTCGTATGGACTAACTTTGTTTTTAGGAGAGATTAGGTAAATAACATGAACAAATACTTTGCCTTTTATTTTTTCTTTAATATTTTTCTTATATTTTCTTTTTCTGTGTGGGTGTGTGTGTGTCGGGGGGGGGTTACAGCTGCTAATCCCAGTGCTTCAGTCTGGCAGCAGTGAAACACACAGGCTGTGTTGGACAGTAAAACAGGCACCGGATTACAGATTAAAAGCAATTTCTAATCTTCTTTTGCACGGCTCTTCAGATATGGCCCAACTTGGCGATGTCTGAGCTCCAGCTGACCTACAATAAGATAAGACCTTCAACTTTCCACCATCTCTGCTCGTCACAGAGGTCACCAGAAAACATCAGAAGCCTCGCGTATGAAAGTGCACAGGCTGTAGGTCTTCCTCAAAGCCAGAAGTTTTATTTTTACTCCAAATCCTCAAAGAGACACAATCCCTCACCCCCTCGCTCCCCCCAGCCGTTAGCCTCACTCCACCTTTCATTAGTCGGGTTCACCTGAAGGAAAGAGGTTTGAAGTTCACAGCCATTCGAAACAGTGTGAAGTTTTTAGGTTTGGTTTCATGTGTTAAAGTCGCACGAAGTTTGGTTTAGTGCTGCAGTGTTTGGATAGAGCAAAGTAAAGGCAAATAAAAATAAAATAAAAATGCAAACAAGTTACTGAACAAAGATTTGGTAATTAATTTTTCTCTCTTTTTAAGCAAGACAGTCTAAAATAATCTGGTTCCAGCTTCCTCAGAGTGATTTTATTTTTTATTCTTTTTGGTTGCTGGATGGGGGAAAAAGGAGATTATGATCTGTCAGCGTGTCCTTTGGGAAAGTTTCATCTAATTATTCACTCATTAAATATTAAACCATTGTGGGAGAACTAAAAGAATTAGATTAGTTTAAGGCTTTTATCTGAGTAACATGATGACATACCTGACAGTGTTTGCCTGCAGCTTCTCCAGTGCGACTGTATTTTGTTGCTTTTATATTGTTTTTATAAGATGGACATAAAAGTATTTTTTATATACTGTATTTATACGTGTTTGGGTTTTCTGTTCGAGAGCAGAAACTTGGATGTGATCACGGTTTGTGTCTTTCTAAAGTGAATATTAACCAAATGAAACTAAGTAAAAGTCGGCTGATTAAGAAGAAAAGTTTTTAATTGAAAACTGAAAATTGCAAAATATGTGTACACATAATGTATTCATTAATCAGCTTAGGACAGTTAAAAAGTAGTAAAAAAAGATTTTTGTTTTAAAGTGGGTTTATTTTTCATATTTGTTGTGAACACAGGGATTTTAATTGTTGCATTACTGATAACAGCGTGTTCATGTTTTTCAGGGCTTTGAATGTCACAGTAATTTAATGGAAGAAAATACAACAACATATAAAGAAAACTATTCACATATGTTTGAATTACAACAACGTGTATATGGAGGCTCTGTCCCTCTCTCTGATCTACAAGCTTGTTTTCTCTTTATCCAGAGTCAGATTTCTGTAAACGGCTTCTTTACAGGCAGATTAAATAAAGACTTTCACATCAGATATTTTAGGAGTTTAATATTAAACTGATCCATATTCTAAATGAACTCTATTTATTAATTAAGCAGAATATAAAAGTAAAAGTGCTACAGATAAGATGGCAAGAAGGAATTTAAATGTTTTAAATGAGTTTTATTTTGTTGGCAGAAACATCATAGTTCAAGTAAAAGAGCAGAGTCATTAAAATGTTAATATTTTTTACTGTGTTCAAGTAAAGCGACTGATCTTATTTCTTCTTTTCATCCCAAGGCTCTGCACACTGTGCAGTTTCAGCTCTCTGATCTAAAATCATTTCTTTTCATGTGTTGGAGTCAGATTTCCTTTTAAAGGACTTCTGCACTTGTGGAACAAACATCATTTGTCTGGAGCTTCCTGGGACTTAAACCCTGAGATGGCATAAGCTTCTGGACTTATTGTATTTGTAACAAAGGCATGAAAATACATTGAGCGGAGGATTTAAGTATTCATTTATTCCTCCAAGCCCAACGGTTGTCACAGTTTTGTGCAGCGATCAGGTTTTCGAATTGAAACAATGAAGCCTGGAGACAGAAACGTGCAGGAAACCGCCAAACGAAAGAGAAAAACATCAGCAAAGATTCAAAGGTCCAGCAACCTGAGTCTGTGCAGACATGTGATGTGCTCGTGAGGACCGCTCGGAGCAGTGAGGCCTGCAGGATGCCTTGATTGAAAGCAGCCGGGGAACCATGGCACGGCGTGTCCGGCTGGGCCAGGAGGGGGTGTGTTGAGCCAACTAGTCATCGTGGTTGACAGATGCCCCCAGAAAGCCACTAACAGGATGACGCCTGCGCTGCGAGGGCTGCAAGGTAAAGACGGATTATGTCTGAGCAGTAGATAAACAGATTATTCCAGAAACAGTGCCTACTTTTTTAACCTCGTCACTCTTGCCACACTTTGCAGCAGGTCCTGTTCTGGATCGGTTTACGCTTCCACACGCATCCTGGAATTCATCGGAAGCGTTTGAGCAGCCGCTCAGGGTCCCCCAAATGACACGAGGTCGACCCACACCCATGATCTCCACCTGAGCCAGAGGAGCCCCCTCCTCTTCGCTGACACCTTCCCTTGTGCTGCTGGATTAACTTTGACGTTCATATTTCAGGAGACCGTCCTACATGATGCTTTGGGCGTTTGGACTCGCTCTGCTGCTCGCCGTCGCTCCGCAGGCTGCCGTGATTAAAGGTGAGCCTCGTTGGTTCGCATTTTATTCTTTGCAAACAGAGAGGTTAGATGTGAGGGTTTAAAGAGTAAGGCTATCTATACTCGTACTAAACTTGGTCACAATGTGAAGCAAAGCCTATTACGATTGCGTAAGTACTTGGCTGTGAAGTCATCGTGGAGTTGGACTGTCACTTTTCCCCCGAGGATACCAAAAAGGCAGTTTAAATGCATGGTGACATCGCAAGAAGTTTGCCTTCCTCCAATTATGTGTGTGCAAACATGTCCTCAATGCAAATGGAAATGCAGAAACAGATAATGGCAGTTCAGTAGATTCATGGCTGGCGTGCTGACAGCTTGACAATTTGAATTACAGCTTTCTCTCCTCACTTATTCAGGAAAGAAAGAAAGCTAAAAATCTGACAAAAGAGGGGCTGATAATCAAAGTTATAAAACAAAGTTCACCTTCACTTCAAAACATTTCTCAGGCTGTTTATTTCTCCCAAAAGCAGCCCGATGAATTACAACCCTCACTTTGACTCATGCTGTCCTAAATTTATCTACAACAAACCTCTTGTTTAGGAGCGTCCTTTTGGTACACCGAGTGCTTCCAGTTTTAGTGTGTGTGGGCGCCTGAAGGAGAGAGTCGACCCTGAGCAATGACTGTAAGGCAAACGCTGAACTCGGCTCAGCTCCATGCAGCAGATAAACACAAAACAGAGAAATGCTGAAGGACTCACACAGATTAATGTAGGGAAAGATCACGGCATGTGCCCAAAGTGAATGTGAGGGATAGGTGGAGGTTTAGAAACAAGAACATAGAGAGAATCAGAAGAAAAGGTCAAAAACATGGAGCTACATGCAGCAGCAGACAGCTTTATAAAATATTCAACACAGAAAGGTTTTATTGGTGCAATTTGGTGGTGGTCTCTTTCTCAGTTCAGTCATTAGAAACCTTTAGAAACATTTCTGCATCACTCACAGGTTTAATATCTTTAATTAATCCGTTTCTTTTTTTCCTGATGTTCCCTTGTTTATTAATAACACATACTGTATCATTTACAGGTATTACTGCTCCTTCAAACTGAAGCGTCGGCAGTGATACGGAAGGATTTAGTCACATTAATGCTGCATAAAAAAGCACATCATCAAAATTAACCTGGACATTTTCAACACTGCAGCTTCTTTGGATAGAAAACGGTATCTAATGAGAGCAAACTCAGAAGTGAAGTATTTAAATACTTTTACATCCCACATTCACCGTCAGTGCAGACAGTAAAAGCTTCGGTGTTCAGAAGATGTCAGGATTCATAAATTTTAACAATTATGATGTTTACAGTTAGAAAACTAGAAAAAATGTGCATAATTTACAGTTATAAAATCCTCTGATTAAAGCTGACTTTAATGTCCAAAATCCATCAGGTTCTGTAGGATACTGAGGATTTAGTCACATTAATGCTTCATAACATATCTTGGAGACTTTCTTCTGCATTCAGCTGTAACGTTGCAGCTTCTTTACGATTTATTTTCTTTGCAAAAAATGTCACGCATGTAAATATGTTATTGTCATCTATGTATGTTGAACTAAAATAAACTTAAAGGTCTGTAAGAAAGAAAAAGAAACGGGATACGTGTTGTGTAGCAGCATGTTAGGAGGTCACAGAAAGTCAGCGTCTCTAGAAAGATCATTTAATACCAGGCTTCAAACCACTGACACTTCGATACTGATAACCTAAAAGCTTTCAGGGACTCGCCTGTAAGAACACAAATCTCAGTCACAAATCTTGATGCCTACGTTGTTGTGCTCTGTAGTCTTGTCCATGACATTTTAATATAAAGATTTGTCGAGTGATTATTGTGTAACTAACCGACACAGCCAGAGGGGAGAATGTAAAAATTAGCTGTGATGATAAACAAGTCAAACTAAGCACTTCCAGACCTTTTACCCTCTGAATGAGACCACTGAGGGAACAAAGTGTGGATCCAGTCTCCTCAGATCTGGGCAGTGATGTTAGAGTTTGCATCTGTGTCTGCTAACATGCTGCTTAAATGCTACTAACACGCTGCTAACATGCTGCTTAAATGCTACTAACACGCTGCTAACATGTTGCTAACACGCTGCTAACAAGCTGATAACACGCTGCTAACACGCTGTTAACAAGCTGCTAACACGCTGCTAACATCCTGGTAATATGCTGCTAACACACTGTTAACAAGCTGGTAACATGCTGCTAACAAACTGGTAGCATGCTGGTGTGGTGTCTGAAAGTTCAGGTTTATCTTATGAGCTAAAATACAAAAACTGTAAATCTGCCGGTTATAAAATACGCTCTGACTCTGTTTACCAGCTCGTAGCCATGAAGCTGTGCGTTTGCTTTCAGAGCACATCTTTGATGATGTGTCCTGTGGAAGTGACAACCATTTTTTTAAATTAATCCTGTAATGTCACTGCTTTTCTTTTACTGCTTTCTCATTGTTCTCAAGTGGAGGAGGTAAAGTTGAGGAGGTAGACTTGAGGTCTTTGCTTATCTGTGAGGGAATAAGGAGGGAGCAATAGTAGTAGAAATGAGCGCCAGAGATTAATAAGAACTAATGGTTAAATGCAGAGGAGTGTATACACATGGTGACTGAAGAAGAAACACCCAGTGCATCATGGGAATCCCCCAGCAGCCTACACCTATTGCAGCATAACTAAGGGAGGATTCAGGTTCACCTGATCCAGCCCTAACTATAAGCTTTATTTTTCATAGACACTGAAGGGTGTCTGGGCCCTCATCTGAGGTGTTTCAGCCATGTCCTACTGGGAGCAGACCCAGATTTTCCCTTTGGTAAAGTCTTTGTGCCCCCCTGTTCTGGACATATCAGACTTGGATAAGTAGTTTTGTTTCTGAAGTGACCAGAACTACTTTTGTTGTCTCCTAAAGAGTTGTTTTGCATATTAAATGTCAGAAACTAGTCGTCCAAAGGCTCAGAATATTCCGTTTCTAATGAATAGAGACAGAAAATAGCAAGTTTAATGTGGATCTGTCTAATTACTGAAATGCTAATCAAGGCTTTTTGGTTTATGGACGTCTTTTCTACCTCTGACTCTTTGCAGAGTAAATCAGACCGGCGGTGGTGTCACTGTGGTCCTGATGCTGCTCCATCAGTCTGCGTTTGACTCGTCACGATGTGTGTTTGTCTCTGAAATATCTGGCATCTGTTTATTTACCACAGCAGCGTAGCAGCAGCTGGTGTTTTATCTGCTCTTCACTGCGTTCGGCTCTGATTCCTCTCCTGCAGCTCCAAGCTTCTTCTCCTGTTTGTTTTAAGCCTCTTGTAGTACCAGACGGATGGGGTTTAAATCAGGCAGTGTCGTTTGTGTCGCCAGTGGCAGAAAATGACTCTAAATCCGATTTCGACTGTTTTCAAATGTTGTTTAAATCTGGTGACATGAGCTGCGCTGCTCTTTGTAGTAAACACCACCCATCTGTTGCTCTAAACAAATGCCAGGGATTTGGAACTGACCGCGATCTGCTCTGCAATGACTGTGTTTTGACCCTGAAGTTATTTTTTACCTCCTCTCTTTGTCTGGCTCAGAGGGCGATGGAAGGATGGACTCGGGGGTGAAGATGGAGGCCGTTGGCCCGGCGGGACTGGCGCAGCTGCTAAAGATGCCCGCCCTCACCAAAAGTTCAGGTTTTAAACCAGAGCTACGCCGATCCAAGAGGTCGGTGTTTTTACACTCCGGAGTGAGAATCTGCCCCCAGGAGACCATCAGTGAAGTGATCGCAAGCCACCAGGCGTACTACCAGCTCAGAGGTACAATTTGTATTAGTCTGGAGACAATAATACCCCCTAATCGCTGTTGTCAGCAGTATTCCTCTGATAAATTATAGGTATACTACAACTGCATTCAAGTTTTATTTATATAGCACCAAATCACAGCAGTCGCTTCAAGGTGGTTTATGTTGTAAGGTAAAGCCCCTGCAATAATAGAGGGAAACCCCTACAATCAGACGACTCCTGATGAGACAGTGGCAAGAAAAATAAAACCCTTTTAACACGAAGAACCAGTCTCAAGGAGGGCTTCTTATCTTACCTTTCCTAAATCAATTGCTGGTTTTCTGCCTATAAATCTGCAAACAACTCCGAATTATCGGCCAAATATTGATATTGTTCAAATTCCTTCTACAAACAGGCCCTTTTTGGGCTTTTATTTTGAAGCTCAAGTGTAAAGAATGTGTCTGTGGTAACCAGGATGTAAAAATCATGCATGAAACCATGAGACAAATATTGGGTTTGGTAAATCTGCTTCAAAGTAAAGTTTAGAAAGATTTTTTTTCCAGTGGAGTATAGGTTTGATGGACACGTGCAAAGTTACACGACGTTATGCCTTAATTAGCGGCTCATTATGGGGGTCCTTTCGTCAGAGCAGCTCTTATTTGCATTTTGTGCAGGGCTGAAGGTAAGAAAGTTTCCCACAACAGCAATAAAAACTGTGAAAAATATTTTACTATCTGCTTATTTTCTTTGCAGAAGTGAAAAAAAATGTTTTCTGATGCTTTGGTAAGAATTGTGTATGTGGGTGGATGCAGGAGGCAGTAAACAGCTGAAACAGTCGTGAACCTCCACCCTGTTACAGACTGCACCCATACGCTTCTGTTCGTGACACGGCGTGCTTTGAGCACCATGTCTCCTCTTTATTCTGGCTGTTTATGAGCCTCACTGACTGGCATCAGAATGAATTTACATCAGTTTGTTCAGAAATGTTCAGAAATCATTTGATGAAGACGGGAGAGGGAATAAATATCAAAGAACATCTGGAGGGATCGGATGACAGCGCTGAATGCACGCCTTATTATTACCTCTTCCTTAAGATGAGGTCCTTACATTTAGCAGTACGATAGAGTGTTGGAACCACTGATGGTGCAAAAATAAAAATAAAAAAAGGTGAGGTGTGGGGATGTAGGGGTTGTTAAAAGTTTAAAAAAAAGTTCAAAGAATAGTCTGATGTTGGTGCTCCAGCATGGGGATTTCAGTTAAGTATCAGAAAGGGAAGCAATGCTTTTCCTAATAACGTGCACATTTGGAAAGGTAATCTCCAAATGTATAGCTTTTCTTCAACTTTAACTGGCACTGCTCTCACCACTGTGCTGCCTTTTGTTGTGAGAAAATTAAATTTGTGGCTCCACAATTTTTTTTTAAATGTGGAGGACAAAGCAATTAAACATGATGCTGTGAATATAATTTTACTGGTTTTAAGTGTTTGCATGCTTTCAAGTCTTAAATTTAATCAGATTGAACTTCAAGAGTAGCTTTAAAAGCCTTACATTTAGCAGATTTTACCTGCAGACATCCACACAAAGAAAAGACAAAGCTGAAGTGCAGAAGCGTCGGTTTCTTCACACAGTTTCCAGCAGGCAGTTTCACTGTGGAGGAGGGGGGGGGGAGTGGAGGAAAGCACAGGTACATGATCCCACACTCGAGCCAGCTGACCCGTCACGGCGCCACTGAGGAGCGATGAAGTGAGTCACAGGCGTGAGTCACTCCCCTCCTCCGCACAGAAAAGTGCCGAGCTGTGCGGCTTGTTCAGCACAGGAGCAGAAGCACGGGGATCGTACCTGTGAAACAAAACGGCCTCCGCACGAATCTTCTGAGCGACAGATGCAGGACAGTGTGAGGAGTCCCATGTTTGCAGGTGGTCCAAAAGGTGACGCCCCCCCCACCCCCACTGACGTTTTCTAATCCCTTTTTCTTGAGCTTTATACAAAACACCATGAGCTTAAGGAAAGGTGTGAAGGAGAGCTGATGAGGCCAGGAAGATCAGACTGCTGGACTAGAAACTCCTCATCATAGATACTTCTTCACGTGTGGTTTTTGCATGCAGGCTGTATAAATGTGTCTCGTATCTTCTCTTGCTGCTAAAGGAAACTTGTGGTTTTAATGGCTTTGTGATGATGATCAAATCTGTCAGTGCAGAATGCCCAGAAAGAGGACAAAACCAAATCAACCTCCACTTTCACTCCATTTTCACAAAGCTCGTTATCGTTATTCACAGAGGTCAGCTCTGAAGAGAAGAAGCTTTATAACAAGCACATCTTAATACAGCAGCAGTTCAGCTGTGGATTTAAAAGCCTGTTGTTGAATCTTTAAAGCATGTCAGCAGGTTACAGCATGAGTGGAAAACCTCATCGCCCTTCAGTCTGCTTGTGAACGGTCGGCACAAGTCGTGGGACGCCATCTCCTTCTGATAGTAAAGCCACACCACTCTTCATATGGACAAACTGTTCATGAAAACAGAATTCAGCGTTACCCAAAAATCAAGTGTGCCCTATAACCTTCAGCAGCGGGCGCCCATGTGCATGAAAACATGGGGTTATATATATAAAAGTACTAGTTGGTCGCGGCATCCACCTCGAGCATTTCGCTGCCGTCATTTTTAAACTCCTCCCTCCACCGCCGCTTCTGTGGCTTCAGATCGATGGCGCCCTCCTCCATCTTCGTTTTCCATCCGAGCTCCCCTTGCACTTCACATTGATCCACATCAGCCTTCACCTCCCTCCCCACACCTTCAGCGTCTAGACCCCCGCGGGGGGCATAGCTGTGCACCTCACGCCCCAAGTACCCCCTAAAAATAATTAAATGGCGTCTAAAGGCCAAAGAGTCCTCACATAATTCAGCTTTTTCTTCGTTGTGCTCATAGCTGGTCTAATAAATCTCTTTCTTTTTAAGCCTCGATCTCATCTGAGTCGCCCCTGACAGAGCAGCTCTGAGATGATGGATGAAAACTGTCATCTCAGTTTTAAATGCAGCTCGCCTCGGGCTGTATGCGTGTTTAGCCGGATACTACCAAAGAAAGACGGGCCAGAGTAGCTGTGGATAAAACATGAATTTCATAAACAAGACGTGTGAATCTCTTCAGATGTTCAGTGAGAGTTTATTTGTGTGTTCGAGGAGTTTTTCCCTCAGTTAAAATTCACTCTTTTATGACTATTTATTGTTATTACCGGCACCCAGGAGCTCCTACTTGCAAGAAGCCAAATTAAATGTGTTTTAATGTTTACCCATGTATGCGCAGCGTCTGCAGCCTGCAGAGCTGCATGCTGTGTCCGTGTTCCTTTATCCTGTGCTGTAAATGTCAGAAAGATCCCGCCCCACTCTGATGGCTTAATTCTGTTTTCAGACGTTCACCCTTCATCTGATTTTCGTGTCATGCACAAATATCTTTTCATCTTTCTCGTCTTATCTCTGCTCACGCTCCTGTTTGATCTTTTATCCTCGTCTAACACGGACTTTATTTTCCGATTGATTCAGAGCGGATTAGCTCAAAGTCTCGTGTGTGTTCTGTAAATTTGGACATACCGAAGGCTTCAGTGTGTTGTTTAAAAAGGGAAAATCATACAGCTTTGCTCACAGATCCCACCGATGGACATTCTTTAGTTATTCCCAGTGAAACCAGACAGAAGCTGACGTTTCCACAGATGGTGGTGGTTCATTCAGACAAAGCAAGAAATACTGGTCTGATTTCTGCAGTAATAATAAGTATTGCATCTTTGCTACCTAAATAAAACCACAATCACGTCTGTGGTGCAGCATTCTCATGTGAATATTTTCTTTCAGTCGATGAAATCATTGATCGTCTTCCTCCACTCACCTTTAAGCATTCACAGCAGACGGCTTTCTCTGTTTTCTCAGTATTATTGTGGGGCCTTACAATACAAAGCTACTTCAGGCAACTCTTAAAGAATTGAATTGAATTGAATGACCCCGGGTGTGACTGTGGTTTAGGTTGTTTGTAGATTTGTTCCCTCAGTGTTTCCTGTCTCATTTTTTTGTTAAGTTAATTCATGTGTCACTTCCTGTTTTATTTTGGTAGTTTGTCTTGTGTTTAGCCTAATTTCTTTGATTTTGCCTCCTGTGTCTTGTTACCCTGCTGTTTCTGCTTTACTTACCCTCGTGTATAAACAGCACTGTCTTCCCCTCAGTCTTTGTCTAAGCGTCTGTTAATCTCCCACATGTGTCTCCAGCTTTGGGGTTCTTTTTTTTACTTTTCTGATGGACTTTGTTTTGGCTAGTAAAGAGCCCATAAAAGAAAGGCTCACTTTAGTTTAGTTTGCCTTTCTCCACATGTCTGCAATTCATTGCAGTTTCTTGGTTTTGGAAGACATAAACTGCACACCTGTTAGACTTCAGCAGAAGAAGATGGATGGACGACTAAACCAATCTTACTGTGCCATCAGTTTTTGTTTTTTAATCCTCCTCAGTTAATTCATCCATCACAGACACTGCTGCAGAGTTAAATACGTCCTCTGGAGGTTGGAGAGCTGAAACTGTCTGATTCATTTAAAAATATCTCGCAACAAATCTGTATTTGCAAATAGATAAACATGTACATGTTTATGAATATAAACATCCATAAATGGATGAAATGTTGTTTATATTTAAAAGAATGAGGCTGCTGTGAGGAGGTGGATATTGGAGGTGAGGAGGTGGAAATGTCACTATATTAAAACCCATCTTCTTTATTTTAGTGATGTGGCACAACATCAACATCCACCTGTGCAGTTTTTCTGTCATCAGACCAGGTCGAAGGTTTAAACCTGATCTAAGGTTTAGGATACATTTGATGTCTGCTGGTTAACTATTGGAGTCAATCTGGATTTAAATAAATTGTCATCTCTGTGAGATGTGACAACACTGGACACTTGGAATAACTTTGTACAAGTTTAAAAGTGCAGATCTGATTAGAAAACGATGTTGTGATGATATAAAGAAACCTCCGGATCCAGCAGCAAAGTGTTCAGTGCTGAACATGGTGTGTGTGTGTGTGTGTGTGTGTGTGTGTGTGTGTGTGTGTGTGTGTGTGTGTGTGTGTGTGTGTGTGTGTGTGTGTGTGTGGTCCTGTGGTCAGTTTGTCAGGAGGCGGTGTGGGAGGCGTTCAGGATCTTCTTCGACAGGATTCCGGGGACGGCCGAGTACCAGCGATGGGTTCACACGTGTCAGCACGAGTCGCTCTGCATCTCTGACCTCGCCAAAAACTTCAGCGACTCGGAGGAGCACGTGAGCATGATTCAGCGGGTACGAACGAGATTCTTCACATCTGCCTGCAAACCATGTTTCATGTTCATCCCAGCTAACCTGTCATTGTTTTCATCGTTATGTTGAAGGCGTGAGTTACGTCTTGGATGCTTTTAAATAAACGAAGCGGAGTGAGTTTCGCTGTCAGTCAAAGACACACAGTGAACTAGAGTAAATATGCAGTGCTCCTTGTCATCTGTATTTAATTGAGAACCTGATGTTAATCCAATCACAGTGAAACTGAACTGAGACAGTTTTTACTTTATACTATTTACAGTTTTCTGAAGATCCTTCACTTTCTTTGGTTTCTTTTTCTTTTTTTCACCTGAGCCTTTAGCTACAGACACTTCCAGTATATTTTAATGTTTTGCTTTCAGTTGTGTTTGTTTGCATCATTTCTACTGTTTTTTCCTAAAGTCTACTTTTTTTTCACTTCCATTTAAAATGTTTTGGTCACAATGAGCTAATTAGTTTTCTTAATTTAGGATATTTTTTGCTGTTTTTACAACAAATAAGCTGATTATCCCAGCATGAATCAGTCCCTCTAAATCATTCAGGCACCTCACTTGCAGGAGTGTGGTGGTTGGAGTTTGTTGGCCGGCAGCCGCGTTGTAAATCCATCAGCAAACATGCAAACATTCGTCACCGCAGCATCTGTCCTGTCTGTAAAGTCTCAACATTAACGGCACGAAGATTAAAAACTGCGGAGATTTGTACTGAATCAGTCCAGTTAACCCGCAAAGGAGAAAAGAGATGCTTTAATAGCATTTAGCTGCTCAAAACCGCCAGGAATATGAGCGAGCTGGACATTTAAAACGTTCATTAACATTCAGAGGCGTTTTTAAAAAATGATACTGTGGAGATTTAATAAGTTTAATCGCCAGAAGGTTTGTAAAACTTCAGGGACAGCTGCAGCTAAATGAAGGTTTAAACCACAAGAGGCACTTTTTAAATGAAGCCTGGTGTAAAAGTAAATCAAATAATCAGTTAAAGTAAAACCAAACAGCTGCACACGAGCTGAAATAATGTGTGGTGAAAGTAAACAATTGTTCTGGTTTCTGATTGGTTTACAGAGGATGGACCGGCTGAGAGACAGGAGGCCTTCATCACGGTAAGAGCTGACAGATGATTCATGTTCGTTAAGCTCTCACTGTGCTTCTCTGACTGCATGCACACTGATAATGTGAATATGATGCAAACAAGGCCATTAAACAGTGTGTGTGGGGGTGTGAACCCGCAGGAGTCCAGAAATGTCATTTAAACAAATGATTCGAGTGTCAGAGCGAAAATCAGCTTTACATTAAAAACTTGGTGATTTCTTAAAAAAATGTCTAAAGCAGAGGTATCAAACATAATAATAATGCAGTCCCATTAAACAGTATTGAAAAAAGTGATAGACGGTGTAAACTTTGGACTTTTAGTTTTACAGCTTTATTTACTGACAGAAACTTCCCACATGGTCATTCATGCTCCACCAAAGTAATTGGGTAAAAAAAACTTAAATAAAACACTTACATAAAAGTTCCTGTTTTTCACTGCCTACTATAGATATTTCATTTTGTTTTTACGCAGGATATCCTGTGTATCCACTGAAAACTATACACTGTACACATGAATACACATTTGTGTAATTTTACACGTTTACAGTCTAAAGATCAGATTTTGTAATCTGGTTAAAAGGATCGTGGTTCTGATTGAACCCTCACTCCCTGAGGCGTGTTTCAGAGGTTTTATGCAAACCAACACGATTTTAGTGTCTTACCACGTGCTGAACTTTGCATAGCTGTTAGAAATATTCATTAGTTAAACTTAACAATGAGCACTCAAAAAAGGCGGGGGCGGCAACCTGCCCCTGAGCCGGGCTCTGCCAGAACTTTCTTACTGTTAAAAGGGAGTTTTTCCTTCCCACTGTTGCCAAAGTGCTGGCTCACTGGTAATATAGTTGTTGGGTTTTTCTCTGTATGTACTATTCCAGGGTCTACCTTACAATATAAAGCACCTTGAGGCAACTGTTGTTGTGATTTGGCGCTGTATAAATAAAATGTAATTTAATTTAATTGAATGGAGAAGCAGATTTTCAGCACCGTCATTGCCAGCAAAATTAATCGATTCCAGGCAGTTATTGGCCATTTACAGGTTGGGAATTTTGCAGGTGCCAAATATATTTTGGCAATATTTGAAATTTACAGACATGTTTCCAATGCTGACGTCAATGACAGCTTGGGCAAAAATAACAGTGGATGAGCTTCTGGTGGTCGTTATGGTCTTTTCTGTTGTTGTCTACACATTTCTGCCACTTCAATCGAAAGATTCCTTCAAAATATGTATTCATGCATCAGAAACATCTTACCATACATAACGTGTGCAGGGAGAGGGAGAGGAGCATGAAAAATAAATAACTTCCCTTAACAAATAGCAGATTTGAGGGGTAATTACACACATGCAATCAAAAGGTTCCTCATTGGATCTTTACTAAGGACTGAAGTGCTACAGTAAAGGATTTTGAAATGTATGTTTTCATTTGTAAATTTTAAGTGTTTATTGATTTGCAGCAAAGCATCACTTTCATAGATTCAGCTGAGCAGTCTGTCAGTGAGTCATGTTTCAGGGAGAAACGTCACATGGGTGCAGATGTTGCTTTAATGTCATGAACACGGTGGAGAGAGTGCCGTTTGGAGCTGACAGGTGCACTTTTGTGCGTTTGTAATCATTCGTGGATGACTCAGCACCGTCATTATTTCTGATCTTTGTGTCTCTTCCATAAAGGAATAAATACAAAGTAATGTGTGTGCGTGTGAGTTGTTAGCAGAGTGAAGTTTATTACTTTAATTCATCATTTTCACTCATTGATCTGAGCGTCGGTGTTTCAGCTCGTTCTGCTGCTCTCTTCATGAAAGATAGATGAAGTTATGATGAGTCGAGTGTGACTCTTATTAGAAGTACAAGGCAGGTTATGCAAGATTCATTCAACGTGATTAAAAAACATGCAGACCTTTATTTTTTTTTAACTTGAAGTGTTTTAATATTTCATCTGCACTAAATGTTCTCTGTAAAACATTTAAGGCTTTGGAAGAAGCCCTTCTTCCCTCTTAAAAGCAAAATCCTTTGTGTTTGTGGTGGCGTTTGGATACAACAGGCTTAAGCCCGAAAACACTGCTTTATATGGGATTAGCATTACATTTAACATACAGCATGGCCATGTTTTATTAAGTAACTCAAATGCATATCAGCGTGTAACCCTCATCATGAAGTAAAACAGATTTTGTTCAAACATCGGCCGTTTTCCACCGGTGCTCACACCAAACATAGAGCAAAGTTTTAAGCTGCGTTACTCGGCCAAAAACAGGACAGACACAACAGCAGCTGCCTGAAAGTGCTTTATAGTGTAAAGTAAAGACTCTACAGTGATAGAAAGAAACCCCACCAAACAACCCCCTGTGAGCAAGCATTTGGCAAGAGTGGCAATAGTGGCAAGGTAAAACTCCCTTTTAACAGGAAGAAACTTCTGGAAGAACCAAATAGAGTTCTAAAAATTTGACGGATATAAAAAAAAAAAGTCTTTAATTTCAGATCAGTGCATCTGTAAAACAAAGTTGGAAGTCTTACAGCTGTGCTCATTACTGATACTAGAACAGCTTTGCATGATTCACAGTTCAACATAAACCTTCTTTATGTCACACTGAGCCTCGCTGCTGTCCCCTCAGTTAATCCTGTGTGAAACAAGCTGTTTTAGCTCCTCCCACTTTAAGTCATCTGCATTCTGACAGAAGGTCTGAACAGAAGGTGGGTGGAGCTTCTGTTTCAGATTACCATATTAGGGATATCCTCTCCCTGTGATGTCATTAAGAACCATGAGTAGAAAAAACTGCCTGAAGCTGAGTGTATGTTCTGATTCGTACATACACCAACCTGGAGCAGGAGAGATGTGACAGGAAGTCAATCAATCAAATCTTTATCTCAAACATATAAGTAATAAATGTTAATACAGAAAAAGACAAACATGAAATCGCTTAAAGTGACCATATTAGGGGGAGAACGCAAACGTTTATCAAATCCTATACAGTGGGGCAAAAAAGTATTTAGTCAGCCACCGATTGTGCAAGTTCCCCCACTTAAAATGATGACAGAGGTCAGTAATTTGCACCAGAGGTACACTTCAACTGTGAGAGACAGAATGTGGAAAAAAAATCCATGAATTCACATGGTAGGATTTGTAAAGAATTTATTCGTAAATTAGGGTGGAAAATAAGTATTTGGTCACCTCAAACAAGGAAAATCTCTGGCTCTCACAGACCTGTAACGTCTTCTGTAAGAAGCTTTTCTGTCCCCCACTCGTTACCTGTATGAATGGCACCTGTTTGAACTCATCATCTGTATAAAAGACACCTGTCCACAGCCTCAAACAGTCAGACTCCAAACTCCGCCATGGCCAAGACCAAAGAGCTTTCGAAGGACACCAGGAAAAGTATTGTAGACCTGCACCAGACTGGGAAGAGTGAATCTACAATAGGCAAGCAGCTTGGTGTGAAAAAATCAACTGTGGGAGCAATCATCAGAAAATGGAAGACATACAAGACCACTGATAATCTCCCTCGATCTGGGGCTCCACGCAAGATCTCATCCCGTGGGGTCAAAATGATCATGAGAACGGTGAGCAAAGATCCCAGAACCACACGGGGGGACCTGGTGAATGACCTGCAGAGAGCTGGGACCAAAGTAACAAAGGTCACCATCAGTAACACACTACAACGGCAGGGAATCAAATCCCGCAGTGCCAGACGTGTTCCGCTGCTGAAGCCAGTGCATGTCCAGGCCCGTCTGAAGTTTGCCAGAGAGCACATGGATGATACAGCAGAGGATTGGGAGAATGTCATGTGGTCAGATGAAACCAAAGTAGAACTTTTTGGTATAAACTCAACTCGTCGTGTTTGGAGGAAGAAGAATACTAAGTTGCATCCCAAGAACACCGTACCTACTGTGAAGCATGGGGGTGGAAACATCATGCTATGGGGCTGTTTTTCTGCCAAGGGGACAGGACAACTGATCCGTGTTAAGGACAGAATGAATGGGGCCATGTATCGTGAGATTTTGAGCCAAAACCTCCTTCCATCAGTGAGAACTTTGAAGATGAAACGAGGCTGGGTCTTCCAACATGACAATGATCCAAAACACACCGCCCGGGCAACAACGGAGTGGCTCCGTAAGAAGCATTTGAAAGTCCTGGAGTGGCCTAGCCAGTCTCCAGACCTCAACCCCATAGAAAATCTGTGGCGGGAGTTGAAAGTCCGTGTTGCTCGGCGACAGCCCCAAAACATCACTGCTCTCGAGAAGATCTGCATGGAGGAATGGGCCAAAATACCAGCTACTGTGTGTGCAAACCTGGTAAAGACCTATAGTAAACGTTTGACCTCTGTTATTGCCAACAAAGGTTATGTTACAAAGTATTGAGTTGTATTTTTGTTATTGACCAAATACTTATTTTCCACCCTGATTTACGAATAAATTCTTTACAAATCCTACCATGTGGATTCATGGATTTTTTTTTCACATTCTGTCTCTCACAGTTGAAGTGTACCTCTGGTGCAAATTACTGACCTCTGTCATCATTTTAGGTGGGGGAACTTGCACAATCGGTGGCTGACTAAATACTTTTTTGCACCACTGTACTTATCTAGATCATCCTCTGTTTTCATTATACAATCTAACATATACCTTTGTGCCACAAATAAATATGTTTGTGTAATATGTTTTCCTGTAACTATGTTCATTGTTTGTAAATGTTTGAAAAGATGAGTCAAAGATGTGCATTAGTAGTTTTGAAATTCTTCAACAACTCCAAATTGGGGATGTCAAAGAAATTTAATTTCACATCTAATCCCTGAGATATTCTAGTATAAGAAAAAGAAGTGCAATGTTCAACACATCTGTTTTTTCCACACAATAAAGAAATTCTGCTGAAGTGAATGAAAGAAAGCACTCTTTAACTGTAAAAATCAATGTGCGAAATTACAGAAAAATAGCATCCATGTGAAAACAGGAACTTCTGTAGCACATACAGTGAATAAACAGGAGCTTTTATGTTTTTAAAAGTATTTTCTAATTACTTGTAGCATGAATGGGCATGTGGGAGGTCTTTGTCAGTAATGATAAAGCTGTAAAACGTAATCATTTACACCTTGCTTCACATTTTTCAGTGCTGTTAAGTGGGGCCAGACTGGAGTCTCTGCTCGGCCGACTTTACGCCCTGGGCCTTATGTTTGATGCCCCTGCTCACTTTCAGAATGTGAAATTTTTGTGTCATGATGTGTTTGTCTTTCTGCAGGGGAGCGACGACTCCTGCACCAACGCAGAAGCTCCTGGAGATCACAGGTAGGACATCTTCAGCGGAATGCATGTCATCTGTTTATACACTGATAGTTTTTTACTGTTTTCATTGTATATTGTCGTACAGGGAGTGCAGAATTATTAGGCAAGTTGTATTTTTGAGGAATAATTTTATTATTGAACAACAACCATGTTCTCAATGAACCCAAAAAACTCATTAATATCAAAGCTGAATGTTTTTGGAAGTAGTTTTTAGTTTTAGCTATTTTAGGGGGATATCTGTGTGTGCAGGTGACTATTACTGTGCATAATTATTAGGCAACTTAACAAAAAACAAATATATACCCATTTCAATTATTTATTTTTACCAGTGAAACCAATATAACATCTGCACATTCACAAATATACATTTCTGACATTCAAAAACAAAACAAAAACAAATCAGCGACCAATATAGCCACCTTTCTTTGCAAGGACACTCAAAAGCCTGCCATCCATGGATTCTGTCAGTGTTTTGATCTGTTCACCATCAACATTGCGTGCAGCAGCAACCACAGCCTCCCAGACACTGTTCAGAGAGGTGTACTGTTTTTCCTCCTTGTAAATCTCACATTTGATGATGGACCACAGGTTCTCAATGGGGTTCAGATCAGGTGAACGAGGTGGCCATGTCATTAGTTTTACTTCTTTTATACCCTTTCTTGCCAGCCACGCTGTGGAGTACTTGGACGCGTGTGATGGAGCATTGTCCTGCATGAAAATCATGTTTTTCTTGAAGGATGCAGACTTCTTCCTGTACCACTGCTTGAAGAAGGTGTCTTCCAGAAACTGGCAGTACGACTGGGAGTTGAGCTTGACTCCATCCTCAACCCGAAAAGGCCCCACAAGCTCATCTTTGATGATACCACCCCAAACCAGTACTCCACCTCCACCTTGCTGGCGTCTGAGTCGGACTGAAGCTCTCTGCCCTTTACCAATCCAGCCACGGACCCATCCATCTGGCCCATCAAGACTCACTCTCATTTCATCAGTCCATAAAACCTTAGAAAAACCAGTCTTGAGATATTTCTTGGCCCAGTCTTGACGTTTCAGCTTGTGTGTCTTGTTCAGTGGTGGTCGTCTTTCAGCCTTTCTTACCTTGGCCATGTCTCTGAGTATTGCACTCCTTGTGCTTTTGGGCACTCCAGTGATGTTGCAGCTCTGAAATATGGCCAAACTGGTGGCAAGTGGCATCTTGGCAGCTGCACGCTTGGCTTTTCTCAGTTCATGGGCAGTTATTTTGCGCCTTGGTTTTTCCACACGCTTCTTGCGACCCTGTTGACTATTTTGAATGAAACGCTTGATTGTTCGATGATCACGCTTCAGAAGCTTTGCAATTTTGAGACTGCTGCATCCCTCTGCAAGATATCTCACTATTTTTGACTTTTCTGAGCCTGTCAAGTCCTTCTTTTGACCCATTTTGCCAAAGGAAAGGACGTCGCCTAATAATTATGCACACCTGATATAGGGTGTTGATGTCATTAGACCACACCCCTTCTCATTATAGAGATGCACATCACCTAATATGCTTAATTGGTAGTAGGCTTTCAAGCCTATACAGCTTGGAGTAGGACAACATGCATGAAGAGGATGATGTGGACAAAATATTCATTTGCCTAATAATTCTGCACTCCCTGTATACACAAATATATTATACAGGTAGATTGTAGTTGGTTTATTCTGAGATTAACGTTGCTCCTGTCTCTCTTCAGGTCCTGAGGCTCAGACCGATCCCCCGTCAGCGCCCCCAGTGCTCGTCACCAGCACCACTGTCTTCTTCAGTTCCACGAGTGCCTCTCCAAGCTCCGCCCCTGAAACGAGCCACCCTGCCAAGGAGCTCAAAGAGGTACAGAGGAGCACTTACATTTACATACGAAGTATCAATCTGGCGCTCTTATCTGCCGCAGGAAGCTGAAGGAGGAAGGAGCTCAAGTGTCTGACAGGCTGAAAATGTCACGCTGGGGCGTTCATGAAATTATACATCAGTTAATTTGAGTGAAAGGCATCACTTCTGTCCCTCTGTCCTCTTTCTTAACCTGTAATCACCTGTAAGTAACCCATTAAGAGCTGCTTACTAACTGCTCCGTACTTGAGAACTCAAAGGTTTATCCTTCAACCAGTCCTGTGAAAACTAATTTACTCTGATGATGGAGTAGAACCACTTTTACCAGCAATAAGCTGAAGTAATCATTTTCTGTGTGATTTATCAGCCTCTCATGTCACTGTGGAGGGATTCTGGCCCACTCTTCTTCACAGTGTTGCATAAGTTCATTGAGGTTTGCAGTATTTGTCTGTGCACAGCTCTCTGAGCACAGCATGTCAGTCAGGCTGAGGTCTGGACCGTCGCAGCACCTCGATTCTTTTCTCTCTCAGCCGTTCTGAGATCTGCTGTTGCTTGGGATCATTGTCCCGCTGTATGACCCACTGCAGGGATGACGTCGCACTGTGGACAAATCACAAGCAAAGATTTTCTTTTTTAACGCTACATCGATAAATAAGACAAGCACAAAGATCGGTTTTGTCTTCTTTCACGTCTGTCCGAGCCAAAACAACAGTGAGCCCTCCGGTTCCTGCACCAGCATAATTCACCTCGTTCTTATTCCCACAGCGTTTGTGTAGTGTAGTGTGAAAACAAGAAGACGGTGAAAAAGGTGATTAAGAACAAAGCAAAACAAAGTGCTAAAACGAAGGTCCTGTGGCACGTAAACCACCAGCCCTCTGATGTCCTCCAATGTCCTCCTGGTTTCAGTCAACAGTGACCTTCAGTGGGAATTGGAGAGGCTTGCTCAGGGTAACACTGCAGTGGATAAAATCCGCACACCCAGATTATATCGCCTCTGACCTGGGGATGCCTTGGGGTCCACCAGGAAAAGCAGGAGGAAGTAGCTCGGGATTCCCTTTGTGGGAAAAGAAGAAGGTAGATTTGATTAGACTTTATTGTCTCGGACAAACAAGGGAGCACATGGCCTAAAATAAACATGATATCAGATCCACACAGAGCCCAGATTTGCAGCCCTGTTGATCAGATTTTGAGTTTGTGATCTGAGCTCAACAGACAGGTTACCAAACGTAATACCAAAACTGATAATAGATTCAATAGGTCCCTTATAAAATAATATCCTCCCGCTGTGCTGTTAGCCTTCTTTAAAAAAAGGGGCAACAACAACGCTTCAAACCGGTTTTAACTGACAACCAAGGTCAGCGCCTGATCTCAGATCAGCGATCTTCCCTCGGTTTCATTTACATTTAACATTTGGTTTTGCCCTCCCACCAAAGCAGCGTCCCTGCCCTCTCTCTTATATAAGCAAACAGAATTTCTATATGATCTGAGAATTGAATCACAAGCTTGTTTGTATACTGCAGGAAGGAGAGAGCTCACACAACCCTGGGGGGGTGTCCTGTACTCCTGCACGAGTGAAACAGCCAGGTTACTTTCCACCTGCTGCTGTTTTTTAATTATATAAAAAATACACACCTTTGTGTGTCGTGTTGTTTAGGAGACTGTGAGGGAGGCTGGTGTTTAACGCTGAGCTCAGACCCATCAAAGCATCATCAGATCTCTGCTTCACTCCACAGCATCTCTACCAGAATGCAAACAAAGCATTTCATCATGGTTACGTTAGAGCTACGGGTCTCATTATTTTAGGGATGAAGATTGAGTCAGCTGAGAGCCGAAACAACAGACTACAAGCTGGAGTCACAACAGCAGACACAGTGTTTAGGAGAAAGTCCCATCACATCCACGGGACCTGGTGGTGTCTGGTTTTTTAAAAACTGTTCACAGTGCTGGGATCAGTTATTACTTTGTCAAATTCCATCGAGTGACAGATTCTTACATTTAATTCTTCTGTGGTCCTCGTGCTTCCTTTAGCTTTCCTCTGGTTGTTCTTGAAATGTCCTCGACTGCACATCAGACGTCAGATGGAGGTTTTCTGATAATCACCAGCTGAACACAAGATGAACGGAGGCACAAACTTCATTCACACTTCACTTAACACCTCAGCCAGTTTTCAGCCAGTGAAGTTTTTTGCACTTATTTTTAGTCACATCAATTTCTTTTCAGCTCATTTCAGTGAAACAGTTGCTAATAAAAGAAAAAGCCAGCTTTGCAAAAACCTGAAAGATGTGCACGTTGGCAGCTGTGTTTGTTGGAGAAGGATCACATGACCTTCAGTCTGCAAACAGCGGGTTTACCTGCTGCACAGGTGGAGCTGTTAAGCGCCTCACTCCTCCCCCTCAGATAATTACTGCTTTTTCACACCACTGACCTATTCATGGTTACGGTGAGAGGAGGAGGACAAAAAGCCCGGGCTGACATTTGACATCAAACTCCTTTAAAGCAGGGAACGTGGCGTCATTTCGCTGCTGACTGTTCTCTGAAATGACCGCAGCAGTGAGGTCGTTGCTCTTTCACGGCCTACAGGAGCGTTAAACATACAGGTACGAGCCTATTTCATGTTTGCAGCCATTTTTTTCCTCATACTTTCATTATGGAATATCTTTGCTTTAGTTTCAAACATAAACAAAGAGATACGCTATTTCCTGTTGTGCTTGGATGTATGAAAACTTCCTTTTGATCCTTATGGTTGTTGAAATATGAATCATAAAAAGAGCTTTCAGCCTGAATTTCCCGCTCTATCGTTTCTTTTTTCTCGTCTGCATATGTGGTTCTATTCACACAAGCAGATTTGTTATTTTCTCTGATACCAGTCAGTTTCATGTATTTGGAAATGCAAATTAAAATGTTAAAGCATAACGAAGAGACGCACGTAAGCTGTCCCTTTTTAGCGCCTCTCATTTGTCTCGTTTGCCGTCCTGAAGGACCCGGAGCTTCCAAACGTCGTCCCAGATAGTCCGGTGGAGCAGATCGTGGAGTTCAGTATCGACCTGGTGGATCCGGGTTACAGAGAGCTGCTGGATGACCCGGATTCCCCTCAGTACATCGACCTGGCACAACACCTGCAGGACCAGGTGAGACCTCCTGATTCCTTTTTTTCCAACCTCTACTGATGAGAATAAAAAAAACTACCTCACTCAAACCAATAGAGAGAAGTGGGAAAATAAACCTAAGCTCCCTAAACTGCAAAAGACAAAGTGATTATGACCCAGCATTTTGAGGTTATCGTCTTTTTGTGAATTCTTTGTGTTTGGAATATGTTAGTTTTTCTTAGCATTTGCTGTATGTTTAGTTTCATTTGTCTGGTCCAGTTTTCTCATCAACCCTTCTTGTTTACATGTGTCCTCCCTGTGCTCTGTTCCATGTCTCCCCTGTCTGTCATGTGTATCCATGTATGTTTCTTCAGCCCGTCATGTCTCACTCCCTCTCTGTCTCTCGTGTCAAGCTCCCAGTTTACGTCTCGTTTCCCTCGTCACCCTCTTGTGTATTTATGTAGTCTGTTGTTATTCATTTATTGTCAGGTCATCTGTTATGTTCATGCCATGTTTCCAAGGTTTTGTGCTTTCAGATATTTACGTAATCTCCCCAGGTTTCCGTGTTCAAGGTTTTTTATGTTTACTTTCTAGTTTTCTCATTTTAGGCTTTTTCTTTTAGGGTCAAATTGATTTTGCCTAGCTGTTTGGTTTGTACTTTTTATCAGCCACAATAAACGGCTCGCTTTCTGTTAAAGGTTTTGTTTCGCGTGTCTGCATTTGGGTCCTCCACCATGTGGAAACTCGTTTAAAGTTCACTTTTTCTGCAGTTTTCCTCAGAAAATTATCAGAAAATATCAAACATCCAGGGTACCAGCACTCTTTTCAGGTCCTCTGTGTTAAACTGGTGCAATTTATTTAAACTATGATATATCCCATGACATTGATGTTCAGAGCTGGTTACTGGATATCATACACAAGTAGTTTAAACGTGTTTTTCCACACTGACACTTTCTTGTGGATATCTGCCAAACACTGAGAAACGCTGGAAAAATAATGACAAATCAGCAAATTTCAACCAACATATGAGGGGAAGATCTGGGCTCAAGTTGCTGTAAAAACATCAGCTGATTCTGAGGGGTTGAGGTGGGAGGCACTCTTCGTGTAATGACCTTGTTCTTCCTGGGTCTCGCTCTTTACAACGGCTGCAACGGAAGAATTAAATAACTCTGATTGGTTAATTCTGCATTGCTGCATCAGGCTCAGTCTGCACTTTTAATCAAAGAACTAAATCTTTATTTCTCAGTTTCTGAACGAGCTTCGCTTGTGACAGTCTGATCTCCTGCCCTTCCTCCTCCTCCTCTTCCTCTATCAGCGTCCGTCTGTGCCGGCGCTGCTGGTCCAGGCTGATAGTAAAGAAGCTTACACCACAGGGCAGCAAGGTCAGGGTTCAGAGAAAGGGAGAAGATTACCCCCAGCCCGCTCTCCCTACGAGGGTTTTCCTTTTGTCTCCTTGCTCTGGGCTCCTTGCTGCGAGTCATGTCGTGTCCCCTGCTGAGAAATCGAGTCCTTCAAAGTTATTTTCTCTTTTTCTGATGCTAAAGAAAGGCAGCTGGGTCCTTTAAAGTCACGCCAGGCGCAGCGGGATGCTGCCTGATGGAGCTCTTAAAGACGATTATGTCATAAGTGTCCAGGTGCTTAACTCGCCCAAAGATAGATATCAATGGGGGTTTCCCATTCATGCGGTGTTTGTGCATGTTCACACGCTGGCTCTTGTTTGGTGGCCCAGAACTGATTATGTTGGAGCGGGAAGAGGGTGACGACGGTATAAAGAAGTTTGTTTCTTTCCTTTGCAGATGCAGCATGTCTTTGATAAACTTCCTGGATTTAGATCCATCCATGTGCTGGGTATCAGGTGAGTTCGAACCGTGAAGCATACATCTGAGTAATCAAATCTCTCCAGTGTGGTGGTGGTGGCAGCGAGGCAATCCAGCGAGGCTCGATAATTTCATCACATCTGAAACGAGCAGATCAGTTGGCGTGGGCGGCCTGTGAATAGATAAGAGGCCGGTTGTGAGTCGGATTGTTTCAGACACCGCCGCAGGCGAATGTTTCGTGCCACTACTAACAAGACTGAATGGAAAGATTATTTATCTCTGCTGGATGCGTTTCCAGTTTATAAGCAGTGACAGCGGGCCAGCATCGAAACCTGACGGGGGAAGAAAATATTATTATAGTTTTTCCTCAAAAACAAAGTCATTTTTAACCGTTTAGGAAAAAAAACTTGGTTTGAAATCAGTCAAACAGGAATGAATTAAGCAAACATTCAACCGTTCGTCACAGAGCGCTTTGTTTTGCATGATTCTATAATCCAAGCGTTTCGAATTCAGTTTCACCGAGCGCACCAAGGCTCAATCACAAATATATGCCTGATATGGTTTTTTCACGTCCACATAAAGCCCTTGACCAAGGCGCCAAATACGATTATGAGCTTTTCTAACATTTAGCGAAGCAAAATTATTCAAGACGCCTCCCGTACAGCCACCTCGCAGCAGCATGGGGCATTTATTCTAACCACAATATGACCTGATGTAAGAGTAATCGATTAATGCTGTTCCTTCACACACAGATGTCTGTGCATCCTGCCTGTTTTAGCTTCCTTAAAAACCAAAGAATGAAATTATCTCCGATAACATACTTCACCTGGACGACCCTGCCACCAAACTGGCTGCACATAAAAGTAACACTTGCTCATTTCATTTTCTGACTCAGATGATCAGCACTTTGCTTTGTTTGTGACTCTGTTATTGCGGGCTAGCATTCCCACGCCTGTGCAGACATCTGTGGTTATAAATCTTATATTCACCTTTCATCCTCACGTGCACCTCTAGACCAGTTTCACCACCCGGTACCTCAGCTTCAACCCCAAAACTCTGAGAATGTCACCGTAGACACCACTGGTAATCCTGCATGTTTCACTGCTGCTCACTGAGTCTCCGAGTGTTTGCAGACAGGTCGGCATCTTCGTGACAACCTGCTTGTAACCAAAGCAACTATGAGAAGGATTTTAGTGCTTCACTGTACTGTTTGAGGTCAATTGCACCAAGCAACTGTTCACCAACCAGGGGGTGCCGTTGTGTCTCTGAGCATATGTGACTGTGAAGAGGACTTCTTGAAAAAGTCTCATTAAACGCTTTCACATGCAGTGTTGGGCAAGTTACTTTGAAAAAGTAATTAATTATAGTTACTAGTTACTTCTTCAGAAAGGTAACTGAGTTAGTAACTGAGTTACAAGATATTAAAAGTAATTAATTACTTGAAAAGTAACTATTGCGTTTTAAAAAATTCTTTAACCCTCTGGGGTCCAGGGTATAATTGGCCATTTTTAACTACTTTTGCCTCACCTTTAAAAACTATTTACTTCGCCTTGTTTGGTATCAATCTTTTCAGCACATCCTTACGTGTCTGAATTTACAGTTATGTTTTCATTTTGACATACTGTATTAACACAATTGATCTAAAATCAGACAAAAAACATAAAATCTGAGTTGAAAAAGTTATATTTTTAACAACCACAAACATGTTTATTGAATCATATTTCATAACTTTAAATGCAAATATAAATTGTCAATTTTTTAAAAAGTTAAAAAGTTATTTGCAGCCATTTACCTTTTACCCTTTTTTTTATAACCACTTCAAACTATTGACATAACCATCAGGTGTTCTGCATTCATTAAAATGCCACACTACGGAGCCCCGCAAGGGACATGGGAGAAAAAAAAATTAAGACAGACTTTTGCGAGTTCTCGCAAAACAAACTTGGGATCTCACAAAAGTTTTGCGAGATCTCGCAAAAGTCTAAACCGCATTCTTCGGAGGCCGCCAGCTCGAAGCCGACCGGGAGGTTGAGGCACGATGTGCCAGGAAAGCGGTGTTCTTCCCGGCTGTAGTAGGTCTCGACCTCCCGTTAGCTTCGAGATGGTGGGTGTCAGATCTCCAAAAACGTCGGAGCACTTTTGCAAATATGTGATGTCTTGTAAACCAAGCAGATATCTGACATTTACACAACTACATTCACGCCTCAAAATATCTTAAAAGTTTATTTTGTGACCCAGAAAGAGTAATATTACAACCAGTGTTGGGTAAGTTACTTTAAATTAGTAACTTAGTTACATTACTAGTTACTTCTATCAAAAGTAACTCAGTTACTTCAAGTTACTCGTTACTTTCAGAGTAACTAGTTACTAGGGAAAGTAACTTTGGTTTTACTCAGAATTCTCTTGTTAATGTGTTGCTTCCGTAACTGGATACCCAGCAAGATTTCCAGTCTTCTAGCTTGCTTACTTGCCACAAGTGCACTGTGCCACCTAACCAATTAAAGGAAAAAATAATGTAATCATTTCCATGAGAGAAATCCCACGCCTGATTCTATCCTAGCCTGCTTTTTACATCCAACACAAAAACTGCAGTCGTGGTGCTTTCGATTGTACTCAGAACTCGGAAATTCTTCCTTCTGAATCGGAAGATGTAGGCAACACTAGACTGCAGATGAGCTGCATACAGGGCTGGACTGGGACAAAAAAATCGTCCCGGGCATTTTAACCATTATAGGAAAAATCATAAAGCCTTTGAATGAAAATAAACACTGTTGTGACAGTGATGTACACTGTTTTGATGGTATATATGTATCAATCTATCAATTGTTTGTTGTAAGACTCAGATAATTATTTTTTTAAAAGTGAGGCATTTTAAATGAGAATAAGAAAGTATTTCCTTGTGCCCCCCTTTCCCTTTTAATGCCCTACATGGACCCCTGGCAACACTTTGCTAGACCCGCCCCTGCACAGTTACCAGCTGTCAGCTACTTAGAAAAGGATCCTGGTGTTATTTGTCTTACCGCGACATCCGCTGGTTTCCTCTTTCTGGCGCAAAGTGGGCGATAAATAAACAAGAGAGAAAAGCCGATCAGCTGATCATTGATCAGTTTCATGACTGAAGTAGAAACAGGAGAGGGAGGGGCAGAGAATGAGAGAAGAAGAGGCAGCTGTGCAGCATAAAGACAGAATAACTCCAGCTTTGTGTCTTTTTCATTGTAGCTGAAGTCCGGGACAAACTGTTCCTTTTCACCTCAATACCAAAAGCGTAATATTTTCTCTGAATATGAGACGATTCCGTTTTTTACGGGACGGTTGGCAACTCTAATAATTAACCTTATGAACAAAATAAAGTTCAACATCAGTAACATAGCACCCACCCAGCTGTATAGAAACTCCGTCATGCTAGCTAGCACGCAGTACGAAAAAGTCAGCATAACGAAAATAAACTCCACCTAAACTTGGTTCATATCTGACTCAGATACACTGCAGGTCATAACTTCTTACCTGAAGTTCAGTTCACCTGACACTCTCGGACCAGCGGCCGCTTCGGGTCTCTCCTCTTGCCTCCCTTTTCCTTCATCCACCTGCTGGCCTCCACCACTTGCTAATGTTATTGAATCTGTGGAAGCTCGAGTAACGAGTAACGAGCCTATCTAAATCCCAGTAACGAGTAACGCGTTCCCGGTTTTGGCATAACTAGTTACCGTGCTCGTTACCACAATAATAACGTAGTTACTGTAACGCGTTACTTAATAACGTGTTAGTCCCAAAACTGATTACAACTAAGTAGCTGCTGCAATTGTTGGAATTCAACTTTTGTGAGATCCCAAGACAGCAATCGCCTCATTGTTCAGACACACAACACAAAACCACAACACTACACACTTAACTACACAAGACAACACATTAACTACACACTTCAAACATGCTAAACGTCAAAAATCGCTCACATCTCAAAACTCTCTCTCTCTCTCTCTTTCTGCTGTCTTTATCTCTCTCTCTCTTCCTCTCGCCATCACTACTAAAACTTCCCCTCTTCCCTAAACAACCAAATCTCATGTTGCCATATCATTTTATGATTGGTCGACATGGTGCATTTTTCCACCAACACGAACAGGCTGTTTTTTGGTTTTCTTGGTCATAAGCAGAGAGTGTTTGCTGCGCTGTCCTTAGACAGTAAACGTGACGAAACTATTCAGGAAAAAACACAGCGTATATATTGTTTATCATGACTCTGGTTTTGCGTGGCCTATCAACACAATTTAAAAACTGATAAATATCACCTTGTTGCTTGTCATCTTAAAGTGGTCATGTGATTGGCTTACCACGACTACTTTATTCTTCCTCAGTCAAATAGCAGGACTCATGCGATTGTTTTGCCCCCTTAGCTCCAGGTGTTGTGCAAAAAGTGATCGTCGGGCAGAAAGTGATTGCCGTCGGTGGGAGCGCGCGCAGCTGCTTAAAGCTGTAGCGCCCAGATTACTTACAGCTACTTCCGTGCAACTGATATAAAGTGCGGTAAGCTGAACACAGCTTCAACCGTCTGTTTGTTGAAAAATGGTAATTCTTAGTTTTACCATTCTTAGTAATGGTAACAGTGTTGCAACGATAGAAATAGTAATTAGTTTGATTACTCGTTACTGAAAAAAGTAATGCCGTTAGTAATGCCGTTACTTCCCATCACTGTTCCCACTTTTCCACCTTTGATGTAAAGCGCTGCTACAGAAATCACTGCAGGAGTCAGAGCCACTCGGTCCTGATGCAGCAGGTTATTTAAGCTGTTCATTGTTAAAGTTTGTATTTTATTCTGAGCATGTTTTTTTGCCAGCTTTAACATTGATTGTTGTTCTTTTGTCTACAATGTTTCCCCCAGAGAAACAGGCTTTTTCAGACTCCACCATAATACACATCATTTCATGCCGAATTTAAAGTGACACTCAAATGGCTCATTTCTTGTGGCTCTTGTCATCCTGGTGGTGCCTTTCTTTCTGTTACACTTTCATTTCCAGCTCTAATGCCTTCTTTTCTTCTCCCCAATGTAAGCGAGACCCAGGACACTGACGGGTAAATGGCACCAAGAGATGAAACATCCCCTGTAGTATCCGCCTCCTGTTGTGTGTTTGTGTTCAGTTTCCTGCCAACATGCGGCTCAGCTTTTATTTGTGTCCGAGTTAGACTCACAGAGGGGGGATTATTTCCCCCCAAACTGTTCACACAGCTCAGTGAAAAGATCTGCACGGGGACCAAATAACTGCTCAGACAGGCGGACAGCTTCCTGTGAATCGCAATCGCGTTACAGGTGAACACAAGGAGCACAGATGCTTTTTCATGAAGTTTGTGACAGTGTCGGAGAAGACAGGTGAGCAGGGAAACAGGAAGACCTGTGGATACTGTAATTGTCAGGCTGCTCCCCCGATTAATTTGCCTTCCCCTGTGGCGTCTGGGGCTGTCACGGCCAATAACACGGAGGTGAGGCCTCAGCGGGAGCTCGTCCTCTAATCTCGGGAAGGATTCGCAGCTCCTCCTTCCTTCATCTGCCTGCCAGATTGCAACAAAGCAAAGAGTGACTTTTCTCAGTGTTTGAATTATGACAATGAGCAAGAATATTTTCACATGTCTGTACACTTGTTCTTACTTCTTAATAAGCAGCAAGAGCTGGACTCATGTCAGTAAAAATAAAATCAAACAACAACACGTAACGAAGACCTCACAAACCTACGGCTGACTGACCGCGTCCCCTCGAGATTTTAGCCTCTTTAAGCTGCTTGTTTTGGTTTTCAAGTCTTAAAGATGTTTTGAGCAGCCAGATGTTTTAGTCAGGGGTAGCTGGAGACCACAGACTGTACATAAAAGATGGAAAAAGGAAGCGCGTTATACTGGCGTTCATTCAGTTAGCCAGCCACGGAGGATTGCAGAAATACATGTGAATCACAGGTATTAAAAACAGTAACTTTCTACAAAACGAAGGAGTGACAAGAGTATTCAGTCTCTTATTTAAGGAAAAGTCATAAAAATATGTTTAGTACCTAAAATAAAAGTACAGATTATGTAGAATCATAAATGTGATTTAGCTTTAGAGCGATATGTTACCATGCATGAGTACATTTGTTTTCAAATCTGTAGTAAATAAATAAATGGAGTGCAAAGTAGAGTGTTTACAACCACAATACAGCGGAGTAGAAATACTCAAACAACGTACAACAAAACTTATTTTAGTGAAGTGCTCAAATGGACCATGTGACTGGCGTTGGTAGGGGAAGCATGGACTCATTTATCTGTGACTGATGAGTCTGTGCCACTAGGTTGTTTGAATATAAGAAGTTTATTATTGTAATTATTATTGGATTCAACAAGACAAATAAGGTGGAAGGTGTGTTAGGGCGGAGATCACTACGCCTTTCCTTTATGTACAGTCTGTGGAGGAGACAAAAAACAGCGATAAGAGGGAAGTAAGTGTAAAACCAACCTGGTGATTTACAAGTTCCGAATGGAGAACCATCTCGCGGCCTAAAGAAGAAGTGCTTTCACTTCGTCAGTTCACTCAAAACAAAGAAATTCACATCATCGGCATTCTAATTGTCCCATCTAACAAATCAGCTTATTCTCTGCTGATGATGATAGCGATGCAGAATATTGATGCAGCGCAATATTCTCTTCTTGTTTTTGAAGTGTAGCTTCAGATATTAATGCCTGGCATTTTAAAAGTAGTGTTTCTCAGTGCAACCTTTTAACTATGTATGTGAAACTCTTTCCCATATGTCGGCTCCTTTTGTCAAAGCTGTCCTTTAGTGTCTGTGATCTCACATACATACATGAGCGCAAACTCATAGTTTGTAGTTAGTAGTTTTTATTGCCTAAATCCAATCAGAGAGTAACAAGCGAAACAGACCAGGCATCTAAAACTTAGTGCAATTCACAAATGTGCCAATCTGAGATTTTTGCCACCTATGCATCCTCAGCTGCTTTAAAGACAGCGGATATTTCTGCCAAAGGACACTCCGTAGCAGAGATCACGATGAAATCTGCAGCATTATGTTAAAACACGATGTTACAGGACTGACGAAACAAAAGCTGAGAAGCACAAAATCTCCATAACAGTCGACCTGTATTTGCAGAGTTCAGACATTTATTGATCAGCGCGGTTAGTGAGAAGATTCAGAGGCAGTATCTCCTGACCCTGACACAGCTCACCCTGTAGAGTCTCTGCCCCACCTACCCATGAAACTGAATGTCATCCCTCATCTGCTCCCCATATTCATGTCTGTTTTGCCATCTTTAAAAAATAAAAAGGATAATATTTCCTCTTTCAGGCCTGGAGGAATCTCGGTGCACTACTCTCTGGTCTTTGAGGTCAGTTCCCCTCAAATCACCTCTGAGATTTCAGAGAATGCGACTGACACACCCAAGTCTTCCTCAGCCAACTCTGCACTCAGGGAAATGGTGACCAAGGCTCTGCGTGAGGAGGCGTCCCTTCCAGTCGACCTGGATTCAATTAACTTTGAACCAGGTAACGTCTCTCCACAGAGGTCACTCTTTGGTTTCATTTATATGGTCATCGCACAAATAAGTTGCATGTAAAGAGTCATGAACAGCTCTACTTGCATTTTTTAGACGGCATGGGCAACATCCAGCTACTGTGACACAGCTGTCTCAGATCGTCCTCTGTGATCCAGGCCCTTCAAAAGCTAAAAAATTTCTTCAGGACCTAAATTTGTTTCACCCAAATGATTATTTAGAACATGTGAACACCGGCATTGTTCAGTCTTCAACGAGAACGATGTTAGAACATTATTTTAATACAGAAGGATTCACAGCTACAGTCTGTAACAAAAAAAACACCTTTCATAAAGACTTCTCCAGTGAATTCTCAGAAAACAGTCGAAAACGTCCCATCTGACACTTTCTTTTAAATAAGCCTCGTTTATCTGAATTAAAAATGAGGAACTGAATTAAAGAGCTTCACTTTAATTCAGTTTTGTACTGGCCAATTGTAAACATAGAAAACCTTACATAATCAGGCTCCCTGGAGCTCTATGACATTGTGGTTCCACTGAGAATTTTGGGCTCAGTGATACCTGGAGCATCCGGTGGAAACTTTTACGTAACTCCTAATTTGGACAATCAGCTATTTCTATTTAGTTAAAGCATTTAAGGCTTGGTGTATAATTCCACTACAAGATTTTGAGAAATATGAGTAACTGATTGGTTTTATCTGATTTCAACCTGCTTTTTTTTAATGTCATAGAAAAGATCCTCCTACCAGCATTGAGAGCCACCGCTTCAGTTGGAGTAATGAATCAGGTAAGACCATTATAATGGTTAATGAAACTGTAGTTGGCTTATTTTAAAGAGAGACCACCCCAGATGAAACCCCATAGAGCCTGCAGTGCTCTCTATCCATCACGTTCTATTAAATTGAAGACAACTGATCTCCAGAACTGTGCAGGTCACACTAGAGCAGTCTTTGTTTGTGTTGTCTTGTACAGCTTTCAGTGTGATTGGTAACATGTTTAAATACAATCCTTAAGACTTAAATATTGTAAATTAAAGTTGTCTAATAGTTTTTTTTTGTTTTTTTTTGTTTTGTTTTCATTTTTGCCAACATGCCTTCCACAGTCCAGCGAGCCTGATTCACACAACGAGTTGGAAATTTCCACTGTGGAGCCAGAGTTTGACAAACTCTGGCCGGCAGTTTCCCTCACCCCCATGGAGAAGGAAAATGCCCTGGAGATCCTGCTTGACCCAACAGCAGTCCCAGATGATGATGCGACAGCAGTGACCAGTGGGGTGGCAGAGGGCAGCGATCAACTCCCAGGCTCGGAGGACGTTACTGATGAGTCGATTTATGTGAGTGAACCCGGGCCAGTAAAGGAAGAGGGGAAGGGAGAAGAATTGCTGATCATTACACATGAGATTGAAACCATTCATCATGATGAAACCGGTAAACTTGTGCGAGACTACATTCCCACCCCTCCTGCACTTCTTGAGCTGGAGACAGATGCTCCCTACGTCAGTTTGTCTCCTAACCTGATACCAGAGGGAGACCTGAGTCCTGTTGGTGACGACAGAGAAGGTCCTAGATTGGACACTGTTCAGATTACCCCAACCGCTAATATTATATTCACTACAATTCCGGCTGCAAAGGAGGCGCCTGATGTTAGACTCCCCATCACAACAGTCTCCGCCATAACAGACCAGCCACCCACAAAGCCAACAGTGATACTTCATGAAGACGAAGAAGAAAATGCTCTTCCAGAGGAAGAAGAGGAGGTATATTTGGGTGTCTCTAAAACCCACGATGCTGGTGATATTTCAGAAACAAAGGATGTTTCAGAGTTGGAAAATGAAAAGGGCCTGCTCAAACCAGAAAGTGGCTTGGCAGTTGAACCTGATGAAGAATCGCTCAAAGTTTTGCAGGCAACTGTTGAAGTTTCAGAGACAGTTGAAGGAATATCTGAAGTTTCAGAGTCAGCCAAAGAAGTATCTGATGTTTCAGAGACAGTCAAAGAATCATCTGAAGTTTCAGAGCCAGTCAAAGAATCATCTGAAGTTTCAGAGACAGTCAAAGAAGTATCTGAAGTTTCAGAGTCAGCCAAAGAAGTATCTGATGTTTCAGAGACAGTCAAAGAATCATCTGAAGTTTCAGAGCCAGTCAAAGAATCATCTGAAGTTTCAGAGCCAGTCAAAGAAGTATCTGAAGTTTCAGAGACAGTCAAAGAAGTATCTGAAGTTTCAGAGACAGTCAAAGAATCAGCTGATGTGTTTAAACTAAAAGAAGTAGTAGCTGAAATTTCCAAGGTAGATGAACTTCAAGAACCTGACAAACTAGGAGCAACTGTTGCAGACCCTGATGAAAAAGTAGCTGAAGTATCAGTTGAAAAAGAAGTACATGGGGTTTCTGAACCAGAAAAAGAAGTGCCTGAAGTTTTAGAGCCAGACCAAGAAGTAGCTGAGGTTTCGAAACCACACAGAGAAGTGCCTGAAGTTTCAAATTTAGAAAAAGAAGTATATGAGGTTTTTGAAAGGGATAATGAAGTGCCTGAAGTTTCAGAGCCAGTAAAAGAGGTAACTGTAGTCTCAGAGCTAGGTCATGAAGTAGCCGAGGCCTCAAAACCAAATCAAGAAGTATCTGGGCCTTTGGAGCCAGATCAAGAAGTACTTGCGCCTTCAAAGCCAGGTCAAGAAATACCTGCGCCTTCAGAGCCAGGTCAAGAAGTACCTGCGCCTTCTGAGCCAGGTCACGAAATACCTGCGCCTTCTGAGCCAGGTCAAGAAGTACCTGCGCCTTCTGAGCCAGGTCAAGAAGTACCTGCGCCTTCAGAGCCAGGTCAAGAAATACCTGCGCCTTCAGAGCCAGGTCAAGAAGTACCTGCACTTTCGGAGCCAGGTCAAGAAGTACCTGCACCTTCAGAGCCAGGTCAAGAAATACCTGCGCCTTCAGAGCCAGGTCAAGAAATACCTGCACTTTCGGAGCCAGGTCAAGAAATACCTGCGCCTTCTGAGCCAGGTCAAGAAATACCTGCGCCCTCTGAGCCAGTTCAAGAAGTACCTGCGCCTTCAGAGCCAGTTCAAGAAGTACCTGCACTTTCGGAGCCAGGTCAAGAAGTACCTGCGCCTTCAGAGCCAGTTCAAGAAGTACCTGCGCCTTCAGAGCCAGGTCAAGAAGTACCTGAAGTTTCTGAAGTAGATAATGAAGTGCCTGAAGTTTCAGAGCCAGCTGAAACCTCAGAGCCAGGTCACAAAGTAGCTGAAAATGCAAAACCAGACACAAAAGTGCCTGTAGACTCAGAGCCAGGGGAAGAGTTTATAGTAGAATCTCAAGAAGTTGCTGTTTCAGAGCCAGAAAAAGTAATTACAGAAGTAATTACTACTCTAGGTATTGAAGAGAAGGACCTTGAATTTTCAGAGCCCAAGGCAGAAGCAGAAGAAAGCACCGTCAAAGATCTGACAGAAGAAGCACTGCATGAACAGCCCAGTGTTTTACAACCAGAAGAGGAAAAAGCAAAAATTACAGAAGAGATTAAAAAAATGGACGAAAATGTAATTCCAAATTTGCAGCCTGAGCCAAATGTGGGGGGTGTTAAAGAACCAGAGGAAGAGTCACAACTCACAGGTGTAGAAGATGTTTCAGAACCAAAAGGAGAGGTGGTTGATGCCACAGGATCAGAAAAACTAGTGCCAGAGGCCTCTGAACCTGAAGCAAAAGTAATTCAGGAAAAGCCAGCAGATGTGAAACCAGCAGAAGAAGAGGTTTCTGAGGGTCCAGCACGAGATGATAAAGATGTCGAAAGAAAGGAGGAAGAGGTTTTGCGGGTAGAAAAAGTTAAATCTCCAGCAGAAGAAACTGCAGAACCAGAAACTGCACCGACAAGGGAAACCCAAGTGCCCAAAGTAACAGAAATGGCACCTGTGGAAGTTGGGACTGCAGAATCAGAAAAGGAGCAAGAAGAAGTACCAGAACCGACTGAGTCGGTGGTAGAGATGAAAAAGGTACCATACGAACCATTACCTGGGAAAGAATCAGAAGTACTGGATGTAACTGAGGTCCCACTACCACAATCTGAAGAAGTCGTGGAACAAGTGAAGGTTGCTGAAAGCCCAAAACCAAAAGAAGCTTCTCAACCGGTCAAAGGCAAAGCTGACAGTTTACCACCAGAGGAAAAGCTACCAGAAGTCTCAGAGCCAGAATCTAAAGAAGAGGTAATAGAGGAAGTCCAACAATCAGAAGGGGAGCATCTTCATGGCCTAGAATCGGATCCAGGTGAGGGGGTAGTAGAGATGTTAGAACCAGAACCTAAAATAGATGCCACTGAGCCACCTGCCGAATCAATTAAAATCCTGCCCTCCTTGGATGGTGTGGACAACCTTCCTTTTGGAGAGGATGCTGTTCAGGTCATTGAAGATAAAAACCTCCTGTATCCTGTCAGAACTGACTATCATCACCCAGCAGAGGAGCATAATTTACCCGTCATACCAGTCCAGCCTTCCAGCGAAGATGTAGGCGAACCTGACCATGACTATCCCATCATTGATCATTTTTACAACGAGGAGGATGTAGAGAGTGTAGACGTTCAGGTGGAGCATGAAGTCAATTCCACCACAATGACAGAAACGACAAAAGGCAATTCACACTTGGAGACGATCTCTCATATCACAGGTGAGCAGGTGTGAAGAGCAGTGTTGGGGTTGTTATTCAAAAAAGTACTTTATTACACATAATTTTTTACTTTCCTTAAAAGTAATGCAGTACTTAATTACTCGCCGGAGAAATCAGTTCGCTTCACTACACTACACTACACTACTTGTTACATTACTTAAGTGTTTCTTTTGTAAAACCTATAAAGAGTATAATATATGGGCGAATTACAGTAATTATAAATGAGATGGAAGTGAGATGATTACATGTTTTCTGATGGATTGATTATATAATTTTAGAGCCGTGTACAAACCAAAATGTGATCTCCCTACATTTCAGTGCAGACTGTGCAATGTGTCTGTGCTGCATGAAAAGTTGTGGGTTATTTTTTGATTATTAAAGACTCCATCAGATGGATCTTTTCTGTAAGATTTTATCTTAGTGCAGAAGTGAGGATTCTGCATTAGCTGTATGAATTTATTATGTATGTATACAGGCACATTTTGGTAATTTGTTGAAATCCTTTGTGTGCACTCATGACTTAATTAATCCTTTTTGCCTGAAATTTCAAAGTGGCAGCTGCAGACACAACAGGCACATCAGAAGCCACTAAAGAGTTGCCAGAGGAGACACAAAAAAGTAATTTATCCCCAGAAACAGACATCAGTGTGACAGCACCACCAGCTTCAGACTCACTGCCTACACCTCCGGCAGCTTCTGTCGATGTTTCTGAAGTGTTTTTACCCGTCCCAACAATTGACTCTGGACTCTTTGAGGTAGCAGAGGAATCTGAAGTCCCCATTGTTACTGAGTCTCCTGAGGGTGATAGCGCTGAGCCGGAGGTGGAGTCAGAGCAAAGCGAGCCAGCTGTCGTCATTATTGATGAAGACTTGGGAGGCTACATAAAAAAAGAAGGCGGAAGCCCCACCACCCCGCCGGATGCTACCGAAGACATGGTGGAAGAAGCTGTGCAGGACCTGGCTGTGGAGCTGGATCAAACCAGCGTGGTGGCCACAGACCCAAATGAGCTCCTGGAAAAGGGAGAAGAGGGGAGCGGCTTCCTGTCTGTGCAGGAGGAACACAGGACCATTGTCACCACGGCCACACCTCCACTGAGATACCTAACCACTCCCACCATGACCACGGCCAGCCACGGCCGGGAGCTGGTGGTGTTCTTCAGCCTGCGCGTCACCAACATGGACTTCTCTGAGGACCTCTTCAACAAGACTTCACCTGAGTACAGGTCCCTGGAGAACACCTTCTTAGACGTGGTGAGTTGGAATGCAACCTGCATCCTTCTTTAGGGTTCTTTATTCTGCTGGTTTGTCTGGTTTAAAGAGTCATTATGTGTTGTTTGCAAAACTCTCACACCTCTTTGAATATATCAGCAATCACCAGTTAGTGGATTACAGCTGTTTAAGTAAAAATATATTTAAAGTTTTACGTACTGCAGCATTTCTCAAACTGTGGGACATGAGCCGCTGCAGGTGGGGCGTCGATAACCAGCTGAAAAATACAAATGGATGGAAAATTAATAAAACTGTGGGTAAACCTGAGGGTACTGCTAACCTTGGGCCTTTGCTTTTCTTAATGACTGATAAAACATGTTCAATGTGCTGTGTAAACTTGGATGAACTAGCTACGATGATGCAGAGCTGACAGCAGCTAGCCCTGTCGGCACCAGCCTGTCTGTGAAAGTGGCCACGGCAATATTAATGCATAGCTTTAAACCTCGATGTAACTCAAACAGGAGAGTTGAATAAAAGGTTTTCTCCACTACTGTTGTTCTGAAGGAGGAAACCATCCATAGAGGTCAAAACAGTTTTTTGTATTAATTCAATTCAATTTTATTTATATAGCGCCAAATCACAACAAAAGTCGCCTCAAGGCGCTTTATATTGTACAGTAGATACATAATCATATGACCCCCTATGAGCAAGCACTTTGGTGACAGTGGGAAGGAAAAACTCCCTTTTAACAGGAAGAAACCTCCAGCAGAACCAGGCTCAGGGAGGGGCGGCCATCTGCTGCGACCGGTTGGGGTGGAAGAAGGAAAACAGGATAGAGACTTGCTGTGGAAGACAGACAGAGATTAATAACAGATATGATTCAATGCAGAGAGGTCTGTTAATACATAGTGAGTGAGAAAGGTGACTGCAAAGGAAAAACTCAATGCATCATTGAGACTCTGAAGGTTTTTATCTCAGCTGTAAAGTTGGACATTTTAACATATTAACATATTTTAACATATTATCCATCAGTCTATGGAGACTGACTCACTTTTGGAGCCTCATGTGGAAACTAGAGGTACTGCAGGTATTGGCACTAATGCATTCATTTGCATGTCATGTCTGCAGGTTTTTTTAATGTGTGATTTTAGAGTGTTAAATGACACAGACTATAAAGTTCAAGGTTTTATGTGACATTAATGTTCTGGAGTGTGATAGATTTAGATTTAGCTGCTGTACCTGACATATCCGTTTACTCTGGGTATTTTTCCTCGTTAAACGTGGGTCCATAGATATTTTCTTCTCTTTGGCAGAGCCGATATATTTGGTTTATATCACCACATTAAAAAAAGAAGAAGCAATTATCCAATTCTAAAATCGAAAACTGAGCACTTGCTGAATGCAGAAAAATTCAAACTGTTTAATATTTGGGAGAGCATCACATCATGAAGCTGTAGCCTGAGAGCTGAGGGGAGCTACAGACTCGGATCATAATCATGTGTGGCTCCATCAGCACCAGAGACTCCTTTCATGTCATTTCATACATTATTATAAGAGGAGAGGAGAACATATTCCCCAAACTGAGACCTAATTGGAGCTGGTTTCATCCCGCTTTGATGCCAATGAGCTATTTTTCCTTCTTTGATTAAAATATTCATATTAATAGGGATATTTAGAGTGTATCGACACAGTGCCTGGTGAGTGCGATACCTCATACTTCTATGACTTGATGGGTAAAACAGAAAGCCAGACACAATTAATAACATAAGCTCTGTTTTCATTCCGAGTTCTCCTGGAGCCCTCAGCGTCGGAGCTGCAGGTTGTTGCGCAGTGAATGGATATGTTTTGATGTTTTGGATGAAGTGAGAGAATAATTTCAAGCTCAGGCAGGTACAATACAGCCCTTATTTCTCTCTGAACAATGACTCTGCTGGATTAATGAGGCAGGAAGAACACGCCGGGGGAATATAATGGTAAATGGATGATGCAGGTGCGAGTCCTCTGCCTGAAATACTAATCTAAAGATGAAACGTGCCTCCTACTTACTGCAGTTTTATTTGCAGATTATTGCCTGCCGTCAGTGTCCTTCAGCTGAGATTTCAGATCAAATAATGTCTGAAGAAGTGGGAGCTCTATCTGGATTTCTTAGCATTCAGACAGTTTTATCAACCTTAACTCTCTGCATGGCGCTCACATCTTTCTTTACCTTTCTTATTTTTCTCATTTGGATCCATCAATGATTAACACTCTACCCTAAACTAATTCCTGCTGCAAATGTACATTTTGGTGACCGTTACGTACTGACGTTTCAAAGTATTGAGTTCAAGCCTGGAGGCATTTACATACTAATATGGAGCTGCAGCAAGTGATGTTTGTGCAGCAGCCAATTAGAATCCAGAGCTAAAAACGGCTCAGTGTAACTAAAGGTGCAAATATTTCACATAAGCTTGAGTGACTATTCAAATACTCAGCAGTCATAAGCATACCTTTCATTGATGAGTAAGCACTTCCTGCAGACTTTTCACATTAAAAGCCTTACAGGAACAGCAGCCTGCGAGCTGAGGCTTTTAATGAGTGTCAGTGATTTACAATGTTTGAAAGAGTGGCAAAGGTGAATAGACTGGAGTTACTGTTCTTTTTTGTTTAATTGGGAAACTTGGAAGGAAACCATTGAGTCTGCAGAAATGCTGAGTTTGCATTATCAGCAATATCGGCTAATTAAAAGAGGGGCAGGCAGGAAAATGGAGAGATCTGGGTAATATATGAGTCAAAAAACACAGAAAAGCTTTTTATTTGTGTTTAACTCGAGGAATTGAACCAGCAGCCTTTAAGTCGTCTCCTCTGTGTCCTCGCTCTGCTGCTGGCGGTGAAAAATTAATTCAAGCCCTGCAAGACGCAGTAATTATCACATGAATAGAAATACAGACTCAGGCCGACAGATACTGCCTGGTAAAGAAAGTACTTTAAATCCTTTTGGGGACCAACGTTTTCTGAATAGATTTTACTCTTCATCTGCTGAACAGTTTAAACTGCATCAATAGAGGTAATTATGTCCGGTCAATGCAAATTAGAGAAACAAAACTGTCGAGTGTTTCTATTTGTTCTCTTTTAGTTTGACTCTGCAGATTGTGTGTGTGTGTGTGTGTGTGTGTGTGTGCGTGCGTGCGTGCGTGTGTGTGTTGAACTTCATTTTCAGGGATACTAATTTGTCGGCACAGTGTCTCATTTAAGGTGAGGATGCTCTCAAAAAAACTCAATGACAGGAGGAATACATGAAGAGGAGTGATGACTGAAACGAAGTGCGCTGCTTTACTGCATCTCCTCCGTAAACAGCATAATCACATCAGTGGCACTCGCTGCCAGCGGCACTTATAAATGTACTTATTATTTCCGGACACATTTTACACGCACATGCAAAAAGGACCATAAATATTTGTGTAATGAAGGAAGAAACAAGCATGTTCGGTAAACTGGACTTGTGGGGATTTAACCCGACTTTAAAGAGTAAAACCTTTTTTTTTCTACCAGTGATATATCACTGTCTCTCTCTCATGGGTTCAATTTAAGGTCGAAAAATATTTGTTTTAAACTGAAATTTATGATATAATAATAATCACGATGATAAAAATACATTTTAAAAATTCGTAAAAAAGTTTAAATTGATGAATGAGGAAAAATATTTAGAATCACTGATAGAGACTAAAGTAAACTTTGTAAACTCATCGCATAGATAATCAATTCGGTTTGATTATATAACACCAAATCACTGATGACAGTGGGAAGGAAAAACTTCCTTTTAACAGGAAGAATCTGCGGCTATCTGCTGTGTGGGGAGGAAGACAGAACAGGCTGTTCCTTTCTTTGAGGCAACGCGATCAACATCAAACAGAAGACACTTAGGTCACTGCATTTCTAAAGGTTCTCAAAAACGGTAAGATGTGAACAAATAAGATAGTCAGCTCCAAGTATATGCCTCCCTTCAACACCGCCGCTGTTAGCTGTACTATAAATAATAGAAGCGATTGCTGTCTGGTTGATAACAGATGGAAAGCAGCTCGTCGGGCTAAATGTGGTGAAAGCCATTCTTCTCTTTTTATGAGGTGGATGCTTTTTGTGCGGATCTTTTACAAATAAATGCACGAGAGGAAACAGCTTCCAGTACAGATGTTCATACTAATGCAAAGTTATTGAATAAACCATGTTACATGTAAAAATTTACATGTAATTTCTATAATTAATTGCACCAAAGGATCGACTTTAAAGTGAATTGAAGATAAATGGGATTGAAGAAGAAGTACTGACTTAAACTGAAGGGAGAAAAGAACAGGGCTGTAATCCTATTAAGAAGAATAAGCCAATCAATTTGGGGCACAAAAACTGGGATTTAACTAGAAAAAACCCGGATAAATCCTCTGATTACTTTCTGGTTTGAAGACACAGTTCATCCATATCACATTAAAGTTTAAAATTATGACTTTAATCTTTCCTTTCTGTGTCTGCTGACAGCGGATTGACTCAAACAGTGGGATGGTTTCTTCCTCAGAGAGATGTTTGTGTGATTTAAAAGGCGTTCTGTATTCTTTGCAGCTTCTGAATTACAATATAAATCTTCAGTGTGAGTTCAGGCATTGCAAGAATTTCTCGAGCAGGAGGAGGAAACGTAGATGAATGTATTGATTTGTAGAAAGAAATTCCAGACATTCACACAAAACTCTGGATAAAATCAGACTGGGTGCATCAATTCAGCCAAGGCTTTGACTTCATGGGCATAAAAGATGTGAGTTATGTGAGCAGAGAGGCATCAAGTTATTTATGAATTCACTCAGTTTAGACAGAATTCATGATGAGACAGTTTAATCGGCCCAAACTACATTTACATCAATTTTCTTCTGTTTTTCCTTCAGTTTTGTTTTGTGCAGATTCTCCAAAGAGCTCAGAGAAAATGTGTAATTTTCCCTTTGTGTGTGTGTGTGTGTGTGTGTGTGTGTGTGTGTGTGTGTGTGTGTGTGTGTGTGTGTGTGTGTGTGTGTGTGTACTTGGTTGTTAATATCAAATTATATCAAACAGTCAGACTCCCCTATGGCCTACGCGTCACTCTCTGCTTCTTCTTCTTCTGCAGCTGCTGCCGTTCCTGCAGGCCAACCTGACGGGCTTCAAGAAACTGGAGATCCTCAACTTCAGGAAGGGCAGCGTGGTCGTCAACAGCAAGATGAAGTTCACCAAGTCAGTGCCGTACAACATCACCGAGGCGGTCCACTGCATCCTGGAGGAGTTTTGCACCGCTGCCGCCAAGAAGCTGCACATCCAGATTGACACCCACTCTCTGGACATCGAACCAGGTGCGTGAAACGCTACCGGGTTTGCAGGTGTCCTGAGCTTTCTCTGCCCCAAACCGAACTGAATGTGAACTCCGGTCTGCTGCTCATGTACACCAGCCGGGCCTAAAATTGTGAGCAGTGACAGGTGAGGTGAATAACAGTGATTATTTCTTCACCTGTTAGCAGGTGGGAGCAAGTCAACATTTTGTTCTCAAAGTTGATTTGTTAGAAGCAGGTAAAATGAGCGAATGTAAGGATTGCCATCACAGTTTGACAAGGGCCGAGCTGTTCAGAGTGTCTCTACACCTGCAGCTCTCGTTGGGTGTTCCCGGTATGCAGGGGTCAGTATCTATCAAAGTGGTCCAAGGAACGAACAGTTGTCATGGGCGGCTGAGGCTCACTGATGCATGTGGGGAACGAAGCCCGGCCCGTGTGGCTACTTTAGCTCAAATTGCAAAAAACGTTTAAGCTGGTTCTGATAGAAAGCTGTCAGAATACACAGAACATCTGGCACTACAGACAGCGAGGGTTCCCACACTGACCCCATCCACCGTGTTCTGCTGGGAAACCTTGGGTCCTGCCAACACATGGACGTCACTTTGACATGTAACATCTACCTTAGCGGTGTTGCAGACCATGTACACCCTTTCATGGAAACAGTACTCCCTGATGGCTGTGTCTTTCATCAGGATAATGCGAGGTGCCACAAACCAGAAATAGTTCAGGAACAATTTGAGGTGTTGACTTGGCTTCCAGATTTCTCAGATCTCAGTCCAATCGAGCATCTGTGGGATATTCTGGACAAACAAGTCCCATCCATGGAGCCCCCACCTCGCAGCTTAGAGGACTTAAAGGATCTGTCGCTTACATCTGGGTGTAGATCCCACGGCACACCTTCAGGAGTAGAGTGGAGTGCATGCCTCAACGGGTCCGTAGCAGTTTATAAAATAGAGTAATATAACACAGGAAGACAGTTTGTTTTGGCTGATGTTAGCAGTGATTAAAGCAAGCTCTGGCTCAGTGCTGATTCTACTGTTGTTCAACTGAATATCTAAGAGTCCTTTTTGCATGCAATGGTGTTTTTATTCCTTAACATGAAAGATTAAAAAGCCAACATGCCGTTTCTTTTGTTAGCTGCAGTGCGGTGGTGTTTTATGATGCCAGGATTTCTTTTTATGTATGAGATATAAACAGGCATCTTAGAATAATAAACATTTGTTGTATCAGCAGCGCTCCTCTGCATGCAGTTCACACTCTAAAAGCTTTGTGATGTAATATTCTCCACAGATGAGTCTGAGGCAGGGAGCAGAGATCACAAACATTCAAACAGACTTGGTAATTAGGTCTATATGTCAAATCCAACGGCACACGGTGGGATCGTAGAGAACATTAAAGGGCCCGAATAATGGTGATGAAGATGAGAAGTGAGCTGCTGAGAGGAGAAGTGCTGCTGCAACATCTTCTGTCTCGAGGCGAGCGTGTGTGTGTTTCAGCAAAATCCTGATTGGGAATCAGGTTTTTGCTGAAACACTTGTGTTTGTTGTGAACAAAGCTGCAGAAGCTGTGTGATTTTTATCACATCGGTATGGACCAACATCTCTGAGGAGTGTTCCCCAGCAAGGGATACCTAATAAAGTGGCTGGCAAGACTAGATTTTGAACTAAAAGAGGCTATAAAGCACTACATACACTGTAAAAACAAAGGTAAATGCAGGTTTATAAAACCTTAAATTCTCTTGTAGTTGATTTGAGGGTTACAAGCAATCTCCCAAAAACTGTGCAGCGATATGTTTGATAGATTCCTCAAACCTGCCAGTTACACAGTGTAAGAAAAGTAGTAAGAGGGACATTTTACATACACAGATTAAATATGGCTATTTATTCCAAGTCATGATGTAAAAGCAGCTGTTTCTGTTCCAGCTGGCATACACTGATAAATATTAGAGATGGACCGATCCGATATTACGTATCGGTCCGATACTGACCTAAATTACTGGATCGGATATCGGAGAAAAATAAAAAAATGTAATCCGATCCATTAAATATCACGAAAGCACCTCACAAAACTTGCAACACGCCGTAACTCACCTCAGAACGTTAGCACGTCGGAGCAGTATGCATCACGTGATAGAGCGGCTGTGGCATGCGGGACCTGTCGTGGTCTGGATAGCATTTGGAGCTTCGCTAGCAACCCGGCATTTCATCTCCGACAAAGTTATCCCCGAGAGAAGTAAAGCAAGTGTGTAAGTCCATCTCTGAATGTTTGTAAAGCATTCCTGCGTTAAGCTTAACGAGCGACTGCCTCTCCTGCTGCTACTTCAATCATGAAACTGCTTAACGATCAGCTGATCGGCTTTTCTGTCGCGAGTCCGTCTCTCTTGTTTGTTTTTGGCCCACTTTGCACCAGAAAGAGGAAACCAGCGGCTGAACAACAGCAGCACGTTTAAGCTTGATCAGCTGTTGTTAGAATGTATTTAATATTACTTTCTACTCGAGGATCTTTTTCTACGTAGCTGACGCTGGTAACTGTGCAGGGGCGGATCTAGCAAAGTTTAGCCAGGGGGGCCGATAGGGCATTAACAGGGAAAAGGGGGCACAAAGACATACTTTTCTTTCTTATTCTCATTTAAAATGTCTAGCTTTTAATTATTTAATATTTATCTGAATCTTACACCCAAAGTTTTAATCTGATGTAAAATGTATAGAAGTCAATTACTGTATATAGTAACTGTTAAGTCTAATACACCCTAGTAAGCTATAGTACTTTTTCCTTTGGGAAGGTACCATCTGTGCAGTCTGCAATTTTGTTGAAGAAAGATGTTGAATCTATTTAATATTTCTTGAAAAAGAATTGATTTCTGTGTATTTTTTTTTTCACACTGCATCAAATTAAGGTTGATTACGTCGATTAAGCATCATGAGGTGGAGCGTGAGGGGTGGTTCCGTATTTTTTATTTATTTATTTTTGTTGTTGCTGGGAGTTGGAACCCTATTAGTTAGGTTGCTTAATATTTATGCTAAGTACTCTTTAAAATACCAGAATAGGGAGGATGGTGTAGGTTTAAGTTTATTAGATTGATCAGTATTGCTGAACTATGAAATATTTTTTTTTGCATACAGGTATAACAGAATAGCTTTAGTGTAGTTGTTGTTTTAAACTTGAGTATGAACTTATACAAAATGCAGCAAGATATTTAAAAAACAGTTTTGTTGATTAAAAAAACACTATATCGGATTCATATCGGTATCGGCAGATATCCAAATTTATGATATCGGTATCGGACATAAAAAAGTGGTATTGTGCCATCTCTAATAAATATACAGTATAAATAAACAGGAACTCTCCAGGACACGAAGGCTGTAGACCCCCAGCAGAAGCCCTGATTCAAACACACATACTTGCTGATGTATGTTTGGATTACAGATACTGACCACGTGCTGTGGCTTCACAACATGATGTACTTCTCATCCGTGACACCCTGCACACATGCTAATTTCCCCGGAGTGAATCTGACGTTTAGTCTCGGAGGCCGGCTAAACCTTACATTTCAGTGCAGAGCAGGAGGAGAGGATCTCATTAAAATCAAACACTCCTCAGCACCTCCCGGAGAGAGGAGGGTGGTTAGAGGAAGGCGCGGGAAACTCCTCCTGAATACTAATGTGTGTCCACGTTTTTCTGCCTTCCTCTCCTTGCAGCTGATCAGGCCGATCCCTGCAAGTTCCAGGCCTGCGGTGAGTTTTCTCGCTGCGTGGTGAACGCCTGGACGAAGGAGGCGGAGTGTCAGTGCCAGTTGGGCTTCGTGTCAGTGGACGGTCTGCCCTGCCAGAGCCTGTGTGTCCTCCAGCCGAACTACTGCCAAGGAGGAGAGTGCCGCATAGTTCCCGGATACGGAGCCGTGTGCAGGTAAATGACGATGTATGCGGACTGTGTATCAGCAGGTCCACAGTTTGGTCTATAAAGTGTTACAAAGAACACAGAGCAGAAATCACAAAATTTATTATTTCTATAATTTTACAGTAAACGCAACCACATCATCAGCATATAATGGCAGTCTCAGTCTGTCCCTCCATATTACTTATTACACTGATATGCAGAACTCTAGAGACAAAGAGTTAACTCAAAAAGCACATGAGATGAGGGACTTTCAAAATAAGACAGGAAGTAACAGAACACAGGAACAAAAACAGCGTCCCAAACATTTTGTTGGGGGGTTGTTTAAAGAAAAAAGGAGTTAAACAAAACTGAAGGAAGCAAATAAATGAATGAAATCAAATAAAACATTAGGTTAAAGCTAATAATAGGTTTTAATACAAAAAAAGACTGCAAATAAAAACAACAAACTGAAAAAACAGGAAGAAACATTCACGGTGGACAGGACATCTCAGACTCAGCGAATGAAAACAGGACGAGTGTTAAATAGGATTTCAAACGGTCGATTGCTGAACTTTGTGCAGGTTGGCAGATTATTTGAGAGGCTGTGGAGTCGATTCATGGAGGGCAAATTTCATTGATAGCCAGTGCAGTGACCACTGCGTGATGTGTAGGAGCTGAATTGTGATTACTGAGTGGATTTGGACAAACTGAACATAAATGGGTCACCGCAGTTCAACTGAGAAGTCATTAAAGGGCCGTTAAAGTTAAAACCAGCTGCAGTTTTGTAAAAGCTGACCTTCACGACTGATTTGACTGTTAAAAATACGATTTTTACAACATTCAGCTGAACAACAGAACAGGAACACAGACCATGGGCAGCACGTGTTTCAGTTTTGGAGTGATGGTGAGGCAGAATTTAAATCTCAGGACCGGGGTTTGCAAACAGGTACAGCGGGAAAGTCAGCGTTCAGTCATTTCAAAGTCCCGGCTGCAGGAATGTGGGAAAAATCATTTCAGAGTGATAATGTGTGACTGTCTTATCCTCACTCAGACTGAGCTGCCATTCTTTGAGCCGCTGGATTCAAACCGAGAGCCATAATTTTCATTACAGATGTATAATTTTTATCAGAGGGAGCTGGAGCCTGCCGGTGTATAATGTGATTTTCTGCTTTCTTTTTTTAAGTGGAATCGTTCTTTTTGTAAAGGGTCGTGATGCCTCGAGTTTAAGCTGTTCTCTGCAGCCTTCTTTAACTTTCTCTGTTAAAAGTAGAAAGTTATTCAGGTACTTTTTAACAACCTCAGCTTGGGGTTAACGCAGGGTAACCTTAAGCATGCAAAACAGAGGACTGAAGCCAAATTATACCCAATAAAATATGAGACAGGAATTAAACATACAATTAAACAGTGTTAGCAATCACCTCAATCGTAAACTGTGTCACTAAAATACACTGAACAAAAATATAAACGCAACACTTTTGTTTTTGCTCCCATTCCCCATGGGATGGACGTAGAGACCTAAAATTCATTCCAGATACACAATATAACCATCCCTCCCAAACAGTGGTCACAAATCAGTCCAAATGTGTGGTAGTGGGCACATCTGCTATATTGAGATAATCCATCCCACCTCACAGGTGTGCCACATCAGGATGCTGATCTGACATCATGAGTAGTGCACAGGTGTACCTCAGACTGCCCACAACAAAAGGCCACCCTGGAATGTGCAGTTTTGTCTCACAGCAAAATGCCACAGATGCCACAAGCAATGAGGGAGCGTGCAATTGGCATGCTGACAGCAGGAATGTCAACCAGATCTGTCGCCCGTGCATTGAATGTTCATTTCTCAACCATAAGCCGTCTCCACAGGCGTTTCAGAGAATATGGCAGCACATCCAACCGGCCTCACAACCGCAGACCTCGTGTAACCACACCAGCCCAGGACCTCCACATCCAGCAGGTTCACCTCCAAGATCGTCTGAGACCAGCCACCCAGACAGCTGCTGGAACAATTGGTTTGCACAACCAAACAATTTCTGCACAAACTGTCAGAAACCGTCTCAGGGACGCTCAACTGCATGCCCGTCGTCCTCATCGGGGTCTTGACCTGACTCCAGCTCGTCGCCGTAGCAGACTTGTGTGGGCAAATGCTCACATTCGATGGCGTCTGGCACGTTGGAGAGGTGTGCGCTTCACGGATGAATCATGGTTCACATTGTTCAGGGCAGATGGCAGCTGAGAATGTCCCAGTTCTTGCGTGGCCAGCATACTCACCGGACATGTCACCCATTGAGCATGTTCGGGATGTGCTTGACCGGCGTATACGACAGCGTGTACCAGTTCCCACGAATATCCAACAACCTCGCACAGCCATTGAAGTGGAGTGGACCAACATTCCACAGGCCACAATTGACAATCTGATAGACTCCATGCGACGATGTGTTGCACTGCATGAGGCAAATGGTGGTCACACCAGATACTGACCGGTTCTGGGTCCCCAGACCCCCAATAGCACAAAAAACTGCACATTCCAGGGTGGCCTTTTGTTGTGGGCAGTCTGAGGTACACCTGTGCACTACTCATGATGTCAGATCAGCATCCTGATGTGGCACACCTGTGAGGTGGGATGGATTATCTCAATATGGCAGATGTGCCCACTACCACACATTTGGACTGATTTGTGACCACTGTTTGGGAGGGATGGTTATATTGTGTATCTGGAATGAATTTTAGGTCTCTACGTCCATCCCATGGGGAATGGGAGCAAAAACAAAAGTCTTGCGTTTATATTTTTGTTCAGTGTAGAATAAATATGAAATCTGATTAGTAAACATCCATTGTTTAACCACTTATAGCCTGTCACAGCTGTCACAGGGAGAAGGGTAAGGTGAGGCGTCTGTGGAGAGAAAGTGAACACTTTCATCTTTTAAAGTGAAAAAGTCCACATGTGGAGGCTGGAGGGGACACAGAGTCATACTCATACACAGATTTTCATGCTTCATTTGGATTTTTTTATAACGCATGAAGCTCTTTAATTGCCAATAAGTTACTCGGTTAGGTTGGTATGCATGCAAACTCCTCCCACAAAGGCCTCAGCGGGCCAGCGGATTCAAATCCAGAACCTTTTTGCTGTTAGGCAACTGTGCCACCCAAATATACCCCCTAAGAAACAAACAAAAAGGCCACAATAGGACAGACAACCAAAAAAATCCTTATCTGTCTATCTGATTCAGACTGTCCCAGGAGCCCACTGAGCTCCTGATCCAATCTGGGATCAGGAACTCAGGAACCAATCCAATCTTCTCTAGCAAGAAGCGATAAGGAGAGCGCGGCGGTCCGTGTCCATCTCCTGCAGAACCATTCCCTATTTGGGGGTTTGTGTTGCCGTGCCTCTCCAGATCACCCGTTGTCACTTTGATTTGCACTAAAACACCTGAAATGGATCAAGAAGATAAACTCTGGAGGCTGACACAGACTGAAGCCATGATATAACTACCAGCCACTCACGTGACTGCAGGAAAGTGAGCGTATAGAGACATCTATGGTGAGAGAAGAAGGGTGGAGCCTCTTTTTCTTCTTCTGTCGCTTTGTGGTGTAACAGCTACTTTGCTTTCACTCTTCTGTCCAGTTCATCCCAAACCAGCTCAATGGGGTTAAAGCCTGGAGACTGTGGCCACTTCGTGTTTTTAAGCTTACTATCTTGTTCTTTTTTCCTGAGGTAATTCTGCCATAGCTTGGACTTGGGTCATTATCTTGCTGTAGGATGAATCCTTGACCAACTACGTGCATACCAGAGGCTATTGCATAGTGCTGCAGAATGCTGTGGGAGCCGTTTTGCTTCATGGCGCCTCTCACTCTGTACAAGTCACCCACCCTGGATCCAGCAAAACAGCCCCAGACCATCACACTTCCTCCTCCATGTTTGCCAGTTAATGCCACACACTGTGAAACCATCCTTTCACCTACTCAACGGCGCACAAAGATCCTGCGTTACAAACTGAACATTTCAAATTTTGATTCCGCCTTCCAGTCTTCAGTCGTCCAATGGCAGCGTTTCATGACCCAGCCAAGCCTCTTTGTAATATTCTGACGTCTTAGCGATGGCTTTCTTGCTGCAACTCGTCCTGTAAAACCTGCAGCAAGAAGTCTCCTCTTCACAGTTGAAACTGAGACTTGCTACGACCACTATTAAGCTGTGCTTGAAGCTGTTATCCTGTTAGCCGCCTATCATGCAAGCTGTTAACTCCCAGAAACGTGTCCCATGATTCAGCTGTGGCTTTGGGTCTGCCAGACCTTATCCTGTCAGTTTGCCCCGGTTTCTGAGTGCCTTTTGATAGTGAAGAAAACTACTGTCACCTTAACTTTCTTTGCAATTTCTCTGTAGGAAATACAAAGTGCTACGTACATTTCATTGAAACTTGTGGTGCATGGTTGAACTTAGTACATCTGAAGCGTAACCGCCAGCTGTTAGCTGCTGTGATGAGTTTTAAATCGTGGCAGGATGATGTCGGCTGTCCACAGACGCCTTTGAAGAATAGTTCCTTTCCTTAAGCACTTAAAAGCTTCATTAATATCGTGTTTCATTAACTGTCAGCTCACATGCAGATTTTTTATTACATTATGAACGTTTAACTAAATTAAAAGTTATCCTCGGGTCTGTTAATAAACTGCACTGCAGGGAGCGGCGACGGTTTTAAATCTGAGACATTTAGAGACAGACAGGGTGAGATAATGGCTGGAAAGACTTTTTTCTCAACTCTTATGGAAACTTTGAAGGAAATCTGACGACGCTCTGCTTGGTTTTTTTAATTGTATTTAATCCAATAACACCAAACATCTGTCTGCTGAAACAAACAGACTCAGTAACAGCAGCTGCTCTCTGCGCTTTTATCAATATTTGTTCAGGACTAATTTTACTGCTGTTTAATCCACGTTTGGTGTGTGTGTGTGTGTGTGTGTGTGTGTGTGTGTGTGTGTGTGTGTGTGTGTGTGTGTGTGTAAAGATGATTTTCTGAGTTTTGGTAAGTTTGGCA